CGCCGTGTAAGCATCGGCGTACGTATAGTTTTGTATACTTGACTCGTATTGTTTTGCGATTGTACGCCGCCCACCCACATAATACGCATACATGCATACATACATACATACATACACAATAGCGCGTATTGTCTATCGGCGCGCAGACAATATTGCATGGAATAACAATATTTTATGATGTGCAACAATGATAAACGTATCGTTTCGCTACAACAATACGAAAAAACAATATTAGGCGCGCATTATAGAACCAGTTGGCGCGCGGGCCCAATGCACGGCGGTACGATAGCCGTTTCCCTAACGAGGGGGGACAGTATCTAAACCGGTGGCACAAAGCGATCCGGCAAAGCAAAACTCAATGGAAATTCCGATTGCTCGCGGTACAAAGACCTATCGGCACTGTAATACCAACGGCAGACGCCTTGGGGGCGATTCGGTATAGTTCATGCCGGTGGTTCCCATCGTTTTTGTTACGGCGACCCACACATTTACTGTTTTTTTAGGCACGCTACCCGAATTAAAAATATCTACCCTAGGATAACGGGGGTACAGCCACTATTGCAGACGGGAAGTTAGGAAGGCAGGATATCGAAGGGAATTTAATGTATATCTGTAAGAAACGATGAATTATTGCTAACGAAAAAACGATTCTGAGCGGAGTTCAGTTGATAGTGATGCATTTTCAATAATATATATGTCATACAATGACAAAATAATTAAATAGGTATTATATATTTTCTTTAATAATATTTTGTTTAAAATTTTTCCGATTTTCCCCGGTTTATTACATTTGCTTGGAAAACTTGAAAAAACCAAAAAATTACCTCCTTAAAGTACCTTCCCAATAGGATTTCCTTTCAGAAAAAGTGCTACCATTATAAATCGGAGCAAAATTGTTGGTAGAAAAGTTGTTCACGGGGGAAAAAAAAAGCAGTAATATTTTTTAACTTATACCATTGATAATAGAATAAATCTATTCTATAATCAATGCTAATAATTATATTTCGTACATTTTCAGTTTTTCCTTTTTTTTTTTTTCGGTTTTTACATTTGCTTACTTTCTTATTATTTTTACTAATATATTTTTTATTTTTTATATTTTATTAAATTATAATCAAAATATTTTTCTTTCTTTGCGACCCAGTAAAAATATTTCGCGTCCCATAGATTAGCCAACACTGGTTTACACTATTATAATATTGTTATTCTGATACCTACGTAAATATAGAAGTGCCTGTATAATATTATACGAGCATATAACCCCTGGCACATTATAATATTATTTAAATGCAACGTGTACCTCCACGTTATTATGTTGTACACTGCACTTTTGAATTTCAATCCTTCGGAGCGATACCGATATTAAAAATATACGTGTAACCGCGACCGGTTCTTCAGATATATTGTCGATCAATATTCTCATTACTCAAATTATTTAAGCAAATATTACTGAAAAACTTACGTCTAAAGTTGCCCCCCCCCCTAATTTTGTTGTATGAAAACCAAACTGGCGTCGAAAATTTGCAACTTATTTGCAACAATTTGCAACGAAGTTCTCAAAATTTGCAACTCAACTCTTTTGATGCATTTCAACTTTTTCTGGTAGGGGAGGCCAACTTTACGCAGCCTTCCACATTGCCGTATCAACTCCAAACCGGTGTCAAAATGTTGCGACTAATTTACAACGAAATTTTACGACTTGTCAAACTCAAGTTGTAACGGTAAACCTTCTATACCAGTACAAAAACGAAATATATTTAATATTTTATGCATTTACATATTATTACAGTTTTATATTTTACCCATGAGTTTTTGACATTACAAAACAGCTTAGTGAAGCTCAATCAATTTGTTTTCGGTTGTTATAAATTTTACCTAGATAATAATGAATTAATAACTCGTATATTTACAAAAATAGTATTTCTTAATTCAAAATTGTTTATTTTTAATAATTAAAATTTGCAAATCAATACTAGAAAGTAATAATTTGATACTTATCAACGTATAAAGAAACACCATTATTATTTATATTATTATTATTGACGTACCAGTTATTGAAATTATTTAAATCTTTTTGTAATAATGAAGTATCTTTGGGAGTTTTAATCGATTTAAACATTTTCGCGTTATCAGCATAAAGTAAAATATTGGAATTTTTGATGACAAGTACAATATCATTAATAAAAAGATTTAAAAGTAGTGGAAAGAGGTGATCACCTTGGGGAACCCCAGAAATTACAGAAATCGGGTTGGAAATAAAATTGTTATATTTTACGTATTGTGTTCTTTGAATTAAAAATAACTATCCAGAATAAGATCGGATCAAGATAAGAATCATTTTTATTATAAACAAATTGTTTTCATTAAATAACATTAAACAAAATTACATATTATTTTTACGTAACGAAAAAATTAAACAATTAATTACACTTATTAATAAGTAAATCTTTTAAATTATAGACATTTCGTTTAGATTCAGAGTTCGGTGAAGAATATTTATTGATTTTACAAAGATATTTATTTATTTTCATTTTTTTTTATTCGGCAAGTATACTAAGTATACTATATTTGATTAGGTTCCGAATCCGCCCTGTAGTTATTACCACGTCAGCTGCCTACTCGCAGTGGACTCAGAAACCGCGGAACAAAATTATTGTTGAATAATTAAATACAATTGTTTTAGGGGTTAACGAAATAACGAAATAAGACGGAGGCTACGATAGTGTGACATTGGCGTTGCGGTAGCGACAGCGGACGAGGGTAATCGCCACGTATAGACCTATTATTGGTCAATAATTGGGATGTTCTACGGGGCATGGGTAAGGGTGTGAAAAATGCCATTTAACAAAAATACCATCGTAATGTCACAAAAAAATCTTCGGCCAAAAATTTTGTTTAAGAGATTAGTAAACTTATTAAAACTATTACCCATACATCGGGTTAGATATTAACTTACCCCCAATTGCCTCCCCCCAAAAAAAGTTAACCAAAAATATAAATAATATTTTTAATCAAATCAGAGATACCAGTCGATGGCCAATAGACGAGGCACTGACAAGCATCGACGAATTAGTAAACATTGTCGGCTCTAAGAAATTAATTTTACCGGCTACCCCCACCAAGAACCCTCCTACCGGACTTAATTGCTTGATCCATGTAATGTAGTAATGTAACAAAATTTTGTACCCCAATATGTATTTTAAACATAGATATCCTTATGTAAAAATTGTCTCCCTCTCCCCTTGAATAACTTCTAATTCTATTACTGCTGGTTTTATTTTGTATATACCTTTATTTCCAAACAAATATATAAATAATAAATCTTTGGTATAAATGTCCTAAGTCAAAAATTGAAATTTTTGGCTAGTAGTACTAGTATAATCAACATTTTTTATATATTTATATTTTGTTGGCACTCAAGTCAAAACTATAACTCTCTATCAGTGAAATTTGTTTTGGTTTAAATATTTCAAGTCACCTTATATTAGGTACAAAACACGTAAGTCTAGTTAAGAGTTGAAGATCAGATAGGTTGATAATTTTAAAATGTTCTTACTATCTTAAGTCAAGTTAAGATTTTAGTACCATAAATATAAATAATTTATTATTGATCATAACAACGTAAGTTATCTTATGCTTTTTGTATGTATCAATTTTTAAAACAAGTAATTTTTTACTTAAGACATTAATTATACCATACACCAAAAAAATATGAACAAATACATTCATATAAATATTTGAATACATTAAATATTAAACATATTATTTACAATGTTAAATTTATAAATATATTTCATATATTATAGGTACATTGTTCATATAATGATTGGATAGATACAAGACAATTTATAGATAGTTAAAAAAAAACAATAAATATTCCAGATAATTCTTTATTAAGCAATGAACTATTATTTTTCATTTGTTCTACTATTTCTTCTGTGGCAATATCTTAGTTATAGTTCTGTCCACTGCTATTAACATGGGTACATTTTAGAATAGAAAATTTCTACAACAAGCAACCTAAAAATGAAAAATAAATTTTAAATTTATATAATTAAAAATTTAAAAATCAATATCTCACTTGTCTAATATATTTAATTAACTAAAATTAATATATAAATAATAACACTACTTATTAGATAATAATTAAGACTCTGCTTATTGTAACTGAAACAACATCTCTCTGCAAAAGAGTACTGCCTAATGTCTACTCTAGCGGCTAATATAAAAAATAATATCATAATTGATAAATGATAACACATATAATAACAAAAAGTAACAAAAAATAATTTGTGTACAATTAAAACCTTCACAAAATGTTAACAAGTAACAATTAATTAATTTCTGTATTTTTTTATATAACTAAATAATAATAAGACTAACCAAATAAATTTAACATGCTTACATAAATACAATTTAAAAAACAAAAGAAAAACAATTCAATATTTTAATACCTTTCGACTTCAAAAAAAAAGTATATATATTAACATGTAATAAACTTATTAAAAAAAAAGAAATATAATAGCTAAAACAAGTATAATCTCATATTATATAATTATAAAAATTAATTTAGGAATTTTTACTCTGTGACATTATCACCAAGCCATTTTGGTTTTTTGATTGCTCGACTATGACTAGAAATTTTGGGAAGGTTATTGTTGTCATCAATTGGATCCTTTTTCTCTGGATTTGATTCAATTTTGATGTTTATTTTTTTTCTGGTTCGATTATCTCTTCAAATGAAATATTTCCAAGATCATCAAAGTTTGGTCTCATTAGAAATAATTAGAGTAACAGCACATGTACCACTCTTGTGTTCTTTTTCTTCAACTCTGATTGGTCTGTTTTTTCTTTTGTAGCACACATTACTGACTGTATTTCCAATCATAAACGGACCATTATATCTAGGTGATAATTTTGAATCAGAAGCTAAAGACCAATTATACCACACTAGGTCTCCTTTTAAAAAGTTTTGGTTCAGTCTGTGTTTTTTGTTCTCATCATGCTTTTTTTAATGTTTTCAGCAGCCTCCTTGTATCAGGTAATTCATCTAACTGTAGTTCTCTAGTAATTTCAGGTATTGATATACCCAAATTTATGTCTGAAGAAATAATTCTAGGATCATATGCGTGTAGTAGATAAAATGGTGAATATTTTAATGAACTCTGCTGGATAGTGCTAATTGCTAAAGTTAAAACTGGTAATTTTTTATCCCAGTCATATGGGTATTCTAATGTAAATTTTGAAAGTACTGCTATTATTGTTGTATTTGAACATTCTATTAAGTCGTTTGATTGAGGGGTATATGATGGGGTTAACAAATGTTCAATTCCATATTTTTCTAAAAACTGTTGAAATTTAGTGCTGGTGAATGAAGAACTGTTATCACTAATATAAGTAAGAGAGGTCCATATTGATCGATGATGTTTTTTTCAACAGTATTCAGGATGTCTTCTGTAGCTGTTGTACAAGTTGGTCTGGCTACAAGAAACTGTGTAACATGACATATATGTGCTAAAATATACCAATTACTAGATATTGTTGAAGGTTTTATGACAAAAAAATCAAATTATACCTGATTACTAAACAATACCATTGGCAGGAGCCTACTTACAAGAATGTATTCAACACACTTATAAACCTTTAGAAGTTCTGTTTGGAAAAAAGTATATCAAAATTAGCATTACCAAGAACCACAAGCGGATTAGATGGTTTAGAATGGCCCGAAATTTTAACTATGCTAAGGTATGTATTCAAAAATTCTCAAATTGAGATTTTAATAGTTTCAAACGTTTGAATATTCAGGAGAAGAAAGACTTAATAGAAGAATTTCAGGATGCCCCACTGGGATGTCATCAGGATGAATCAAAACCATCAAATGAATTAAACAAAACTATCATTGGAAAAACTTGAAAAAATATGTAAAATAGCACATTGCATTGTAATAAAAGTACTAACAAAACAATTAAACAACCAATGGTAATTACTACAACAGTGAGTAGGCCTTTTGAAAAATTCTTCCCGGATATGGTAGAACCATTAGATACATCAAGGAACAGCAACAAGTTCATACTAACCAGGTAGGATGATCTAAGTTCTCAGTTGTAGTACCATTATCGAACAACACATCCAATAATTTGGCAAAAGCTTTTGTAGAGTCCTTAATATGCTTACACGGCCTACCAGAATCGATTGTAACAGATCAAGAAACAAAATATGTTTAAGCTAAATAATATATATCTATTCTTGTGTTAGCAGCACTGATGAACTTGTATTTAATATTTTTCTTTCAGCTTTGATAGAGACAGTTACAAAGTTTTTTTCATCTGTTGGCTCTCAAAATGTAAAATAAAATATACAATCCACTTTATCAATTAAGTTGTTTGTGTTAATTTTTTAAGTATGCTCATAAACAATTTCTCAATAATACTTAATACCATTCAACCTGAAACCACTGGAGACACTAGAAATTAAAGGACCTGGGATAAGAGATGACCAAGGGCAGGTGACTAGGAACGCATCACAGTTCAAAGAGAAAAACAACCAGAAGAAGTGAAAGGACTAAGAAGATTCCAAAGCATCTAGAGGACTTCATTGTTTGAAAATACTCAATTATATCATTCTTTAATTACTATTTAACTATTCACTGTTTTATAAATGTTATTTGCAAATTTTTAATAATTTATTATTTGCACACTAATGTAGCAGGGGAGAGATGAAATGATTTGCTAATAATAATTTGATTATAATGATGTTAACCTAAAAAAGATTATATAAAATAAACTGCAGTTTGTCAGTCAGTCTTTTACTGAACACCATGTTACATAATATTACCATACATTATAGATACTTGCTGAATATTTTTGCTTTTGCTATTTTCTCTTGAATGTTGACTACTAATATTCACGCCTAATATATTGGTGCCTAATGAATCACTGAAATTACCAACAAAAATATCAGTTCTGCTTAAACTCCAGTATTCTGTATCATCTATACAATCATACACAATCTGAAAACAGATGGTTTTTTTTTTTGTTAAGTTATTATAATATTATGCATTATTAAATATGTAAATGAGTAGTTATTTAAGACAACCTAAAAAATATAAACCTGCATAAAATATTTAAAACAGTATATTTTGTCTCACCTTTTGTTGGTGGATTGAAATTAAGTTTTGTTGGCTGTTTGTGATTGGGACATCTTTCTAATAATTCTCTCATTTCCTTTTTCTATTTATTGCCACCTGGTATCTTCTTTTATGCATAGGATTTATAATAAAAAAAAAAAAACAATTAAATTCAGAAAATTTATTTGAAAAAAAAATTGCACACTATTATACTAACTTAAATCATATTAATACTATTAGGCGTAAGCTAGCCAGTCCTATTGTGCTATCCGAAAAACAATTTGGTTTAATAATTTTACTAATCTTAATATTTTATACCACCATCATGGACCAATTGAATCCAATTTTTTGTTTAGTGATTGTCTCAACCTGCAACCGCACACCCTGTGTTAGCCTATGGATATTTAGTTGGCGCGGAGGTTCAAGAGTTTCTAGAGAGGCGTTTCCTGTGTCGTTCTAAGGACTACAAGTGGAACCCCGAAAAAAACGGAGCTTCGCATACCAATGGGTTAGGGCTAAGCGCTACCCGTCTCCTGTTGTCCGCAACCTACTTCACTGCTTTCCGTTTTTGGTCTTTGGTGTGGTGTTAGCCCGCCGATAGACTGAGTAGGCTCCAAAGAGATACCCCAATTCATAGCCGCGGATGCTTGCGAGGCCGTTCGACCTAGAGCTTTCCTTGAGTCAGCATGACCTATAACCACATAGTCATTCCAGTGAAAGCCACCAAAAAACCATTCCGCCTTCGGCCGAAATCCGGCCAAGACCGGAAGCCAGCGTCGTGACGAGCCACCACCCCAAAATGCTCGAGACAGCGTGGGCTTCCACCATCCCGTAGTACCAGCCTTAGCATTGCTGGTGGGATGCTCGACCGGAGAACTCGCTTAATTTTGGTTTTAAAATAAAATTTAAAAAAAAACAAGATGATACATTTTTCTTATTGTTCTAATTATTATTCCAAATATAATGCTCAATTCATCATTTAGAAATAAAAACTGATTTATTGTTTTAAAATGTATCATTTCAAAAAAAAAAAAACACATCATCCTGCCCTCCAGAATATTTTCTTTTACAAAATAGTTATGTAGCTGATTTACCTTATTAAATTTTATTTTATTTTTTTCCTAGGTTTTCTGTTCTGGTTCTTCCAGCATTCATTTTATAAATTTCAAATTCACTTTGGCATTTTAGTTATTTACATCTTGCAATAATCTTGTGTAGCCATTTCTTATATAATACTACATAAACTCAAAATGCTCTTTGTCAAATTAAGATATCCTAATTCATGTTCATTGCTGTACATTTCACTATTCGAAAGCTAAAAATTTAAAGAACACAATACACAATAAACACAATGGATAAAATTAAATATAAAAACACATTTGACAAATGTTAAAAAAGATCATTGAAAATTACATACCTTCTTATATCTTTTTGTATTTATTTAATTTTAATGATGACGATATGTACTGTTTTTGATAATGTACTATTGTCAACTAAACAAATAAAATTAATGATCTTATACTATTATATACAAAATAAAATTAAAATAATTACCTTACTTTCCTGCCAAAGCCATCCTTAGTATTACTTCTTCTCATTGCACCATTTTTGACAACGTACCATTGTCAACTAAATGAATACAATACTGTATTGTATTATGTACCTACAAACGACAGTAAAAACATTTAGGTAGATATGTAGGTACCTGATTTTACTAGCAAGAGGCGAATCCATTCCTTACTCATATTTGATATACTTGAGACTTGATTAACAGTTAACACCATTGATTTTAGAGTATACTTTATTATAAAAATTATAATATGGATATAGAGTATTCAATATATTATAAAATCAAGGTACATTAACTTTCCTCAACCATTGACTTTTCCGGTTTTCAAACTATAGATAAGAATATGGCTATGTTTGGCGCATCGAGATAGATAAACAATAAAGTATTGTAACCTGTGATACTACAACATGATACTACAATAAATAAATGTTTTTGTTGCATATTAATCTTTATGATCACAGAGTGATCATAAAGATCTATAGAAAGAAATTCTTATCTATGATTATGATATATATCAGTATTTTATAAATTCGTGCTACGATGGTAACCATAGTTTATATGACCATAATGGTAACTAAAATTGATAACGAAATAGCTGTTAAATAACTATACATAATATACATTCGAGTATTTCGAGTATTTCGAGTATGTATCTAACCATTCTAACCAAATTACTGAGTGTGCACAACACATGCAATATGTGATTTAAACAATTCAAGTTACCTTTTTTTTTTTTTACCTATTAAACAATTATATATTATGTACTAAATAGTTTATGAGTCAAAATGTCTTCAAATGAGTTAACATTTGAAGATGAAGAAAAGTAATTATAAACTTTTTTATCATTGTTTAAATTATACACTATCTAGCTGTCCTGCAATTTTTGCCCTTACACAGTACAGTACGAAAAAAAATAAAAACATAACTTCCTGTTCCCACGCTTTTTCCTATTACAGTTAACCATTATTGGTCAAAAATACATTTGTCAAAAATGTTACTTCCTTCCTAATAACAGTTAATTTAAATAATAATAATTTTTTTTATGGGTATCATCAAGGTGGTTAACTATAAATCAGCATAAATAATTATATTTTCATTCCAAAAATCTATCAACTTTTTAGGGATTGAATATCAGAAATCAGACAGATGTATATATGATCTGTTCATCAGCATCTGTATAAAAAATTTTCAAGTTGCAACAGATTTATCTGTGGATCATACAGATAATTCATTTTTAATTGTTCTTATAATATTTTCTAAACAATAAAACTGGTTGAATTCACTAGGTAGTCATATTTGCAATTTTGGTTTACAGCTTGTTAGCTTATTACAAGTTCTATTAATGAGATCTATAATAAAATATCTTAGATGATCTTAATAAGGATTACAATTTAATATCCATTTTTCTATATAAACTAATATTTTTTTTAAAAATAATTTGCTTTATCAGTCATAGTAGATTCCTATAATTTTGGTCTACATTTCAGATGAATCTAGTTCATTAAGTTGCAAGCAACAAAGTCATGTAACTGCATCATTAGGCTTATCCCCATTCCCAAAATACTAATACTTAACATATATGTCTCAAGGCTATCATCCTAAAATATAAATTTAACTCAATTGACTACTCATATTGCTTAGATATACTAGTTCTATGAATAATATTTATTAATTTTGTTTAATATATATTTTATTATATTATAGGTGTATATATTTTTTTAATCAATTGTATACAATTTTAATTTGTTTAGATTTAAATCATTAGTTTGCCGACGATTGCTTGATAGTGGCTGGGTGGATGAAATAACTTTATTATGCAAAGAAAAATTATATAACCGTTTATCTGATGGACAAACTTTAGATTCCATTAGCGAAAATGATTTATTCAATGATCTTGCCCCAGATGCTAGAAGTATGTACAAATTAAATTACATTTATAAACACACATTTATTTTCTATTTTTGTTTTAGAGAAGGTACCAGATACAGTTAAAAGAGAGTTGAAAGTTAAAGTACAAGATAAATTGTTACGTCTAGCAGGATATTTTGATGAAGGAAATACTGATGCAAAACATTTAAATTGACGAATAATTGTAATTTTAAAATTATATACACTGTTATGCAATCATTTGTACAAACTGAAAATTAGTTTATTCAAATAATATTGTAATTTGTCTTTGAAAAAAAATAATCATGAATTTAAATATAACTTTCTATGTACCAAATTCTCTTATGCTTATTATATTTTATTAATTATAATTTATTTTTTCATAATTTAGAAATTATTTTAGTTCTACTATTGGTTCTTTTTCTAATTTAAGCCAATAAAATGGTAGGTAAATATTAAAAACTATTGAGTAAAAATACAAATTATGTGCTGTTTCCCAAAAGTAGTAAAATAATATTGTAGATATACACTACTGTGATCACTTAATATCAACTACAAGAAGAGCAACTTACACTCTATTCATATAAATTGGTTGTAAATAAATATATATATATATATACATGTATTAGTAAATAAAACTTAAATATAGGTATTTACATCAATTAAAACTTGTAACAAATAAATTCAATAACATAATTATTTTAACAGTTTTCACATTCTAAGAAAAAATATTCTTAGAATACATTAATAATTGCTCGTCTGGTACTTATATTTATTACAATATACACAAAATAATTTTTTCTTTCCAATATAATAATATGCAAAAAAAGCAAAAGCATGCCTAATGAAATTAAAGATTTTGGTAATATTATTTAAATTAAACTATTTTAAGAAGTTGCTTCCAACTTTGATGTTTGTAAATATAGATTTTTGTTTCAATTTTAATCATTTTGCCTATTTATATTAATCAGAATCAAAAATACAGCTAAATACATAATTGTATATGTTTTAATAAATTAACCATTTCTATAATTTGTTTTATAATTATAATTTATAAATACTTGGATTAATTCACTTCAATAAAATCTTGTGGCAGGGTAAATGAGTTACAACATTTAATATGTAATTCTTCTCCTTTGTTTTCGTTTCAACTATAATAAATACATGTAGTTTCTACTAAACATTTAAAAGTAATCATACTAATATTATTTATTTTTATAATTAACAAATAAAAACAATATTTTATTATATTACATATAGTCATATTTTCTACTTAAATTATTGAAATTGTATTTTTTAATGTCCTAAGACAATGAGCTGAAAATAGTTGGACCTAGATAATCAACAAAATATTTACCTCAACCTGGCAAACAAAAATGGCATAATATGCTGTAAATGTCAAATTTAGTTGTTTCTTTTAGATTTTCAGTGTAGCAAAGGATTCATTAGTTTTATTAAGATATTTTTATTTTGTGTGTTTGTAAGAAATTTATCTACTAGAAATCTTGATGCGAGGTATCAAACATAGCAGCTTTTCAGAAAAAAAAATTGTACCTAGTTGGTGCATTTAATGAGATCATTTTTTGTTTGAAAACTAAACAAATAATGAAAAAATCCAAATAAAAAATTAGAAACTGACAAATATTTATGAAGAAAAAAATATTAATTTTTTTGGCACTACTCATTTCATTGTTTTTCAGTTTTTATGAACTATGTTTTCTACCAAAAATATTGCTTAAATCAAAAGATTTCAAGTGACCTTTTTAGATCTAGTTGGTTAGTAAATAAGTCGGTTTTTGATTTTCCATATAGTTTTTATAATAATTGAGCAAAACCAAAAAATTAATTTTCAAGTGTTTTTTGTTGTACTTTAGTTAAAAATATTTGTAGAGACTTGAAATTTTGACATAAACTTGTATTATTATTTTTTTTTCAAGCTGTGGTAAAATTTTCAAAATATTTGAGTAATTTTTAAGCTATTTATAAACATTTTAATTTTGTAAGTTTTGTATGTAATTTTTAATCAGTAAGTACTCTGTGGATAAAACTGTTAGACCAAACAGAAATGCTTAACAATTTAACAGGAAGTTCTTTTGTACAACTTTATAAGTTGTACATAATAATCAATAAGAAAAAGTTGAGATTAATATAGTATAATTTTTTTTTTAATAAGAATTTTAATATCAAATTTTGACAAAAACAGTGTAAAACTAAATAATCGTGTACCCTTTAATATACACGTTAAACATGCATAACCAACCTCCGCTCAGAATCATTTTTATTAGCAATAAATTACTGTTTCGTACAGATATAAATTTAATTTCTATCTATATCCTACTTTACCAACTTCGTACTAACAATGGCAGCTTTTTTTTAATGCTAAATATAAAAACATGTTAATTATATTCTAAAAATAAAAAATACGTCCTAGGATAATAGAGACGGGTGCAGCTACTGTTATAGGTAATTTAATGTGTACCTGTAATCAATGATAAACTATTGCTTATGAAAAAAACGATTCTAAACGGAGTTCAGTTAATAGTTATGATTTTCAACAATATATATGTTATATTATAGTATAATAATTAGACACAACAGACTTGCATACATATCTATTTTAGATTCTGAGTGGATCGAAGAAGCGTATAGCTTTACAAAGATGTTTATTTTTTTTTGTGGACAACTTTTCTACCAGCCATTTTGCTCCGATTTACAATGATAGTACTTTTTCTGAAAGGAAATCTGACTGGGTAGGTCATTTTTCGATTTTTCCCAGCAAATGTGAAAAACATGTATAAAACCGGGAAAATCGGTACATTAACAAATATAATTGAAGAAAATATATAATGCCTATTTAATTATCCATATATATTCCTGACAAAGTAGCTCTATCAATTGAACTCCGCTTAGAATCGTTTTTTCGTTAGCATTGATTTATTGTTGCTTACAGATATACATTAAATTAGGCAACTATAACAATGGCTACACCCGACCTCATTATCCTAGGACAGTTTTTTTTATACTAATATTTTAAACCTCTCTTTTTGTTTTTTTCATATAAAGGTAACTTAAATGTTGGCAATGGTATCCATACATTTTTAAGTGCCTAAATAGTAAAAGACAAAAATTATGTACACTAAGTAATAAGAACTGATTTTTTTTTTTTTTTATCTGATATAAAGTCTAAACTTCTAAACTAAAAGTAAATTAATCAGTATCTGATAATCTACAGTCCATGCAGTATATAAGTTTATATTGTTTACATGCATACTTTCAGTATGAAAAGTATGAAATTATTAAAAATGAATAAGCAATTAGGCATGTATATTAATATAAAAGTTTTCTTATAGCATAACTAAAAACTGCTTAATATATTAATATGCTAATGGTCGCATTTATAACATAGATATCGAAATAAAATGAACAGAAATATTATGATAGACCATTTTTAGCTTTTTTTTTTTTTTTTTTTATAATATTTATGCGTTATCTATAGATAACTATTATTACTATAATATCTACATTACACATATTGTATATGACTAAAAATTAAAACCAACTGTGCGCTACCCTTTTTTTTTTTTACCGAGGAAACCGAAACTACCAAGGAACTTCAAACAAATGCATGAAAAAAATAAAATTTTCATGAGGGGGGGATATGATACCCTCATCCTCTCACCCCGTGAGCCCGGCCCTGTTGTTAGGGATAATCTGCATGGTTCAGAAGTTCAAGTCGTAGGCATAAAATAAAGATAGATCTTGGTAGGTAGCTACCGTGCGCAATGTACACGACACAAACGCACCGTTACCATAGGGACATAGATAAAACGACATTGCCAGATTTTAAATGAACCTACATACACAATTTAATGAGTAGTATTATTTTGCCACAGTTACACAAAACTTTATTTTATTATTGGACTTAAATTATACCTGCACGTTTGATAAATTACGTTTATTATAAGTAGGTCGTTTTCATGTTCGCGTTTGTTGTTCGATTGGATTTTGGTATTCGCGTTCTAACGTGCACCCCATATCATGAGTTTACAATGTACCTATCAATTTCATTCTGAATTCTAGACGAATCCTTAAGGAACAATTTAAATTTACACGTCATCATTATAACTTGGTAGGTACCTGCAATCTACCTATACGTATCACAGTACCTAATCATAATAACATTCGAATTGTATTAAATTTCATTAGGTAGGTAGGTACCTAATTGGAATTATTTTTCCCAGCAAATAAATTATGTTAACACGTAAAGAACAACTATTTGTAAAGCCTTTTCAACGTAGGCTCTACCGTATACACAAAATGAAAGTGAGTATCTACACAAAATATAATGTAAAAATAACTATTTTCTGGAATCTAAAAATATGTCTTAAAAATCCAGATTTGCAGTGTGCTACGTTCCATGTGCACAGTTTGATTTATAAAAATAATAATAATTTAACTAGATTATTTTATTATTCCTTATTTTAGGTTAAGTCAGCTACTGCACGAATTGATACTACACCACCACGGGAATATCACCACATTATTACAAAGAAAAAAAAAAGCCAAATGGAGCAAGAGAGGTGTTCACAGATATTAATCAACAACAGCATTCTTTGGCAACACTTGTGTGAAATAATGAAAACAAAAAGAGTGGACGACCGCTGGGATTATGAACAACCAAAGTATGCAAAACTTGTAAAATGTATATCATTAATTATAGCATTATTTATCTCTTTACTTAACACAGTTTATCAACAGACATTCCAGATTATATGAAAACTTAGAAACTTCTAATGATTGACTTAAAAATTTAAATGATTTTCTAGATCTAGTTAGGATACCAAACGATTTCAGAACATTATCTATATACTACTTACTGCCTAGGTACTGATCCTATGATTCTTTGGTAGGTACTCACAATAACTATGTAACCTATTTCTATTATTTATATAAGCACTATAAGTTATTAAAATACTATTCATATTATAATAAAAAATTTGTTTAAATGTATGTTTGTTACCAAGTCTTGCCCAATTCACTTAATAATTGATGCTGAAACTTTACATAGATGTATTTGAGGGGCTATATTTTTTCCCGGCACATATTTTGTTTGAACTGTATTGCATGTACGGACTACAGATGAGATATAGTAAAGCAGTAGTTGTAGTAGAAGAGGGATTTTCAACTGAAATATGGTTTGGATTAAATAAAAGTCTGCTAAAATATTACTATAATATCGGCTGAAATATTTTCGGTTTTTTTCATGCTCCTGATGTAGTTTTAGACCAGAATTAACACATAGGTTTCTTCATATTTAACCCCTAAAGCAGGACTAACAGGGTTATTGGTATTTACTATTTTGGGAACTGAAATTATATAATAATTGGTAATTACAAAATAGTAAACTGCATTTTTTAAGTGCTTTTTGTAAAAGGGTCACAAAGAATTTGTTTATACCCAAACCAACAGTTACATACCTAGTTGCAGGCAATGCAATAATATGGGTATGTTCAAGTACTAATTGGTTTATTTTTTAGGTTCTTTCATAGAATCAAATTATTTAAAAAAAATGAAAACAAATTAATAATTCATATTGAAGAACCAGTAAATTATGAAAATATGGAAAATATAAAGAACAAAAGATGTTATGCCTGTAATCCAAATCTATCTATTTCTAAGGTAAAAATAATTTAAGTGTATATTATACTATTAATAATTTTGAATTATATTGAAAATAAGGTGCACATACCAGAGGAGAAAATACCATGGAATCCACCAAAAAAAAATGTATCAAAACAAATCCGCAAGAATTCATCAGTTCATAGTAACAAGGTAAAATACAAATTAAATTTAAATTGATAATAATTTAATAGAATGTACCTTTATGTACATTTTTGTTTTACAGGACATTAAAAGTGTAAAATGTCAAAAATCAGAAGAAACATCTATTTCAAAAAAACAGGTCGATAACAAGCTAAATGTTAATAACATAACTATTGAAACAAACAATTATTTAAATTACATTGAAATAAACGAAGGATCATTGGATGTGGTCATAAAATTTCCATCAGGGAGCAAAGTAGCAATGATCAATGGAAAAACAAAAAATGTACTTCAACTAAACAATTTGCAATGTACACAATGTCTTAGTTACAACACAAAATTTTAGAATTGTAATATTTGTATAATAGGTGCTAGTTTAACATACAATATTGTCATGGTATTTTTTCCTTCCTTTTTTTTTTTTTTGATTTGCATACAATTTTGAATATGAAAGTAAAACTACTTAATTTTGTTGCACAAATAATTATAATTATAAATAATTTGCTTATGATATTGAATTATTTATTACATTATGTCATTTATTAATTGTGAACCGGATATCAAATCATGTTTTAAGAACAATATTCTAAAATAAACGGATTCATTAACAATATACTAAATTACATTAAAAATAATCACTGACATTTTACATAGTATAAATTTACAATCAAGAGTGAAATTGAGCTGTACATAAATGTATACAAAACATAAATTTATTTTTCAAAATAGATTCTAACTTATGAATTGCCAATTGGATTAAATTTAAAGCACTTTATAGTTAATAAAACAATTGTTAGTAAAATTTGATAAAAAAAAAAAAGGAAAAAAAGTTAACTTGAAATATTTTAAAAGATAAATAGTGTTTTATAATATGGTTTATAAGATATTCTATCAATTCAATTTAATTCACAGATATTAGAAATTGTAATACACCAAACACAAATTAATCATAATTAATAAACAATAATTTTTTTCTATGCAATAAAAATTAATAATTCTTTACAATGATAAATCACAACAAAATAATTTAATTTGACCAAAAATGTCAAGTAAAATTGTTCAAATAATCATATATTAATTCAATATAATGACATAAATATTCCAAATACACAGACAAATTAAAAAATTAATAGTATTTAATAAAACTGACTTCATTGAAGCATAAAAATTCATGTTGCAAATAATAATTAAGAATAAATTGATTGATTAAGTTAATTACAGACACATGAAATACTTGAAACCAGTCAAGATCAGTTCAATTAATATTTGTGTTAATAAATTAATTTAATAACTACATAGTGCTTTCTCATAAGAAATGTAAAAATATTTAATTATGAAATACAAAATATGATTAAACAATAAATATATTTGTTTTCTCTAAAAACAGCTCAATTTTTTCTCTATCTTCTTCCCACAATGGCAGTTTACATTGCCAACAAATTTTTTATTTAGCAATTTTTAAAGTGTTGGTTGATAAATATAATTAAAAATAAAATGAGTATAAATTGATTCATGATTGGGTATAAGCAACGCAAATGATTTTAAAGTCATAGGTACAATATTATACTGACTGAGCCACACCCACTCAATTGTAAATAAAAGATAATTTAAAAAACTAAAATTTAAATTCAGTGGTTGGAGTGGTGGGATTGAATTCAAAACAAGAAGGTGGTTGAGAAGGTGATACAGAGTCCTAGAAACGAAAATCAAATTAAATTATTATTAAATTATTTACAAATTATGTTATAAAAATATTTTACCTCAGAAAAATAGCGTTCTATAATGTCAAAAGCAACTTTATAAATTTCAACACTTTCGTGATTTTGAAGTTGTTCAATTTTATCCAGTCCTGCTCATAAATAATAACAATGAATCATAATAAAGTCAAATATGAAAATAATAAAAGTGAAACAGAGAAAGAAAGAAAGATGATTTTGGAAATAGTGAATACTAACTGTATGTTATAAATATGAGAGATAGCTTTAAATATTTAAGATCTGATTGCATTATGTTAACTAGAAGATAACATTTTGTTGAAATAAATGGAGGAAGAGAAATTTTATTTTAGGATATTAGTATACCTAAAAGTAAAATAAGGAAGCAATGAGGAATATGAATATATAAGGGAAAGAGACAAAGGGAGACCAAGAGAGAAATTATAAAAATAAATTAAAATTTACCTTCACATTCTTCAATTATATTTGCCAATGCATCAACATGCGGACCAGCAATCTTAAGCATATTCTGTAAACCATCTAAAACAACCTGTATAACTTGACTGTCTTGACAAGACAAAAGCGAACATAATGGAGGTACTACGCCTGCATTTATAACACAATCAACTTGTTGACGATTTCCACTGATTGTTAAATTTGTAATAGCCCATGCAGCTTCTTTCTGTGTTTGAAAATCACTCTGAAATGTAAATAAAGAAATATTTAAGTACAAATATTCATGTAACAAATAATATTTATGGATTTTATTTAATTTACCTTAGTTAAATGCATTATAATTTTAGGTATTAACCCAGCGTCAATAACAGATTGTACCTGTACCTGATTTCCAGCAGTAACATTGGAAAGAAACCAAACTGCTTCCTGTAGAAATACACAGTAAATAAAACATATCATGTCCTAATCATATATATATAAAAAAAAAAAAATATCTAGGTATAATAAAATTTTAACAAAACAAAATTATACTAATGTTTTATTTAAAAAATACCTTGCATATTTTTTCTTTTGGATGAGAAAGTAAACCTTGAAAATGGCATAATGCTCCAGAATCCAAAACTACTTGAGTTTGTTCATCAGTACCAGTAACAATATTTCCAATTGCTCTTAAGGCAGCTGTTTGGACCTAATCAAAAGAAAAATAATTTTTTACTGTAGCAAATGATTGTAATTTAAACAATTTATAAAACTATTACTAAGTTCTTAAAGCGAATAGATGCAAAGGAGGTGGACTTAAAGAGAAGTGAGTGAGTTTAAAATAAAATTGATAAAAATTAATAATATTACAACTTAAGTTTAAACACAAACCTTAACTTCTTTGTGTGATAACAATGGTATTAAATTTGGAACAATATTACTATCGATAACTTTTTGAATTTGCTCATTTCCGCCATCTGTTAAGTAGCTAATAGCCCAAACTGTATCAACCAGGATCTAAAAAAAGAATAAATTATAATAAAAAATTATCAAATAACACTTCCTACAGATAAATAAATAAAATATACATTTACAATTACATTAATATCCGAATTATTAATCAAATAATGAAGGGCTGGTAAAATTTCATCTATAACTTGTTGTGATGGGGGTGGATCTTTATTTCGACATAAATTGACTATAACCCATGTCACATTTCGCATAAACGTTACAGGTATTGAAGGATTTATAAACAAGAGTAATCTGGGTACCACATTCAAGCTAATAACGTAGTCTCGTAACTGTGGGCCATCACCAATTATATTTCCTGGAAAAATGTATGTATAAATTATATTAGTTTTTAAATCACAAAAAAAAAATACATAATAATAACAATAGTACCTAAGGCCCAAACTGCTTGCTCACAAACTGTTTGATTGGATGAGTTTAATAAATTTAAAAAAAATGGAACCGCACCAGCTGATACCACTGCTTGCGTTTGAATTGATGTACCACTAGCTATATTAGTTAATGCCCAAGCTGCTTCAAATTGTAATGTCGGACTAAACATAATTATAAAAGTTTATTACAAACCAATACATAATATGAACAATTTGGTAAATTTTAATAAAGGAAAGCGTTTTCCAAAAAAAAAGACCTAATGAGGAACAATTGAAAATGCTGATAAATGTTTTAAATAAAGCACAACCAGTACATTTTTGATCTCATATAGGACAAATTACTTTTTATTACATGCAATTTCATTTTGCATTTTCTCGAATTTGTAAATGAAAATATGTTATAAAAAATTTCAGGATAATTAGATAGGTACAGTAATTAATTTTCACCACTTTTTAAATAATTTATCATTGTTAACACTTATCAAATAATTTTAAGATTTGGAACAACTTTTCTACCAAAAATTTTGCTTCAATGTATAGTGTATTCTTTCTAAAAGGAAAGTTTATTTGGTTGGAGCATCAGTTTTTTTTAGTAGTTTTCATTATAATTGGGACGAATCGAAAAACAGAAAACTGATAAATTTATGGTATTACAATTTTATTATTTTAAATTTGTATGTTTTATGATGTTTTTTATCAGATTTAAAAACCAGAAATATTGCTCTATTCAAAAAAAGACAAGACACCTTTTTGTTGTACTTTTAATCTTATTGGTATTTAAGAAACTCAATTTTGATTTTCGGTAGTTTTATTTTTTTTTAAAAAAATCAAAATAAAAATTGAAAACAATGGGAAAATAAAAATAATCAAAAAGGTTTAACATTTTGACAGAAAACTTATATATGCTTTTTATAGGCATTTTAAGACTGCAAATTTTTTATGTAGTTTTTAGTACTCTATGAATAAAATAGTTTAATAAAAGGTTATAAGTTGTATAAGTTATTAGTTATATTAGAAGTTGTACTTAGTGGTTAAAAAAAAAGTTGAGTAGAATAAGTTATTATTTTTTTTTATAAGTTTTGATATGAAATTTTTTACATAAATCATAAATATTTCAAAACATGTATGTGCTAAACATGAGATATACTCATGAAATGGCTGCAAACAAATCAAGAAAAGCATTTGAGTAAAGCAATCAATTATTTAATAAAAAACTATAGGCTATCAAAAAATTTAGTCTGGGAGGGGGAATTTATATTAATAGTTGATCTACTATGTAGATCTTTATCATTATATCTACAAAGGTATTATAAATGATAGTTTAATTACTACATACTAAGATTTATCAATCTTTTAAAAATTAATTTGTGTATACTAGCCAAACATAAACTTGAAACTGTCGCAGGTAATTTTTATTTTTTCACAACTAGGTTCTACTATTTGATAATGACTATCTAAATCTCTATTAAGCTATTAAATTTGTGGTTGAGGCGCTGAACCAGTCAGCGATTTTAAAAGAATGGATTCAATTTTCTAATATACAGGATATTTTACAGATTAGAAATGAGCCAAGTATATATCAACTATAGCAGTGGTTCCTAAACTGTGTACCGCAAGTACTTTTCAGGAATACCATGACTCACGAAAAATATTTATAATTTGTTATAATTTCTTTTTTTAAATTTTTGTTAAATTCAAATTGAATTTTATACAAAAAAAAAATGTACTAAATAGTTTGAAGATGTTTAGAATGTCTATATTTTATTATACTCAGTAAATTTATAAAAACTAATTATCATTGACAATCAGTGTTGATTTTTTATGTATTGCATTGTGATATTCACGAAAGGGCACCTTGGCTGAATTTAGTCAAAAAAAAAAAAAAAAAATTGGGAACCACTGACTATAGTATTAAATGTCTTGCAATTAAGAAAATTTGTTTGGAGTAATCCATTATGGACAGTAAATGTTAGTGGTTACTACACAAAACTATAACTAAGTAATGCTTAACAATAAGATACCAGGGACAGTGATCTTATCATAATTTCTTTAGTAACAAACTTACTTTGCGTAAAAAATATTTTATGTGTAAAAAAATAATTTAGTTCCATAATCAAATATTGTTAGTAGTTCAAGAATGTGCATTCAAACAAAACCCCACAAAAAATGTTCTATATATGATTTTTCAAAAAAAATAAAATCTATTTCTTTATTGATATTATGTGGAAAATTAAATCATTAGACTAACAAAATATGTTTTTAAAAATAACTTAAAAAAATTTTTTTAGAAAAATTATTAGGAATTTTTAAAAACGTTTTCAAACAAAGTACTAAGTAAGTAAAATCAATTAAAACGGCATGTTTAAAGGAATGACATGAAAAAATCTGGGCATTTTTAATGATTCAAAAAGTTTATATTTCCCAAAATTGTAAATAAAAAATTGATATTGGGGAGTGACCACTGCTGTAGATGAGAAGTTGGGAAGGTAGGTTACATAAGGTTATTTCATTTACATCAGCAAGCAACGATAAACCATTGCTGGCGAAAGACGATTCTGAACGCAGTTCGGTAATACATAATTTGAAGTGCCGTAATTTTTTTTGCGATTTTCGTTTAAATTTGATTTCAACACGCATATTTAAAAAAAAAAGTCATCTAATGATTTTGGAAATTTTACCACGTCTAGGTAAGTTCAATATAAGTATTATTACCAAGTTTCAAGTTTCTACTTGTATTTATAACCGAATTACAGCAAAAAAAACTTTTAAAAATTAAAATTCTTTTAAAACTCAATAGTGGCTTTGGTGATGATACCGTAAGAAAGTAAATTTAGAAGGCAACAAAAAAGGTATCTTGTGATTTTTCGATTAATTCATTTTTTCTAGTAGAAAACATCATCTGTGTTTTTATAAAATAATGAAATCGTGAATTTGTACGTTTTCTACGTTTTTCCCACTTCAGTATTTTTATTTAAAAATAGCGTCAAAAAATGACCTCTCTAAAGTACGATCTAGACAACTTCAGATATTAAGCTTTTAGAAAAGTTGCTATATGTAAAAATCAGAGCAAGTTTACTAGGAAAAAACGTGTCTACAGCCTAGAACAAAGAAGAAGAAAAATAAAATATAAATCTAAAATGCAAATTACTTTACGAAATATTAAATATATAACAAATTATAACCATAATAATAATAATGAAAAACACTTTGCACAGTGGGTGGGTCACTGTTGTAGTTTAGAAGTTTGGAAGGTAGGATACAGGTGGGAATTTAATGTATATCTCTAAGCAATGATAAACCATTGCTAATGAAAAAATGATTTTGAGCAGAGTTCAGTTAATAGTGTAGCTTTGTCAACAATAAATATTATGTCATACTATGGTAAAATTATTACAATGAGTTTCCATGACAATAATGATTGTTTAAAAAAGATTTAAAATAATAAAACCTTAATAATAACAAAACATAAATAAAAACTGTTGCCAATAACAACCTTATTTTGAATTTTATAATTTTATTTAATCTAAGAACCAAGTTTTCTCATTATCTTGAATATTAATGAGAATTTCAAAAAATGAGGTACCCTATGTACCACACAGAGAACATTTTTTTTTTTCAGAAAAAGTGCTTTATTTGAAAAATCGGAATAAGCTTTCTGGTAGAAAAAATGTTAACATAAAAAAAAAATTCAGAATTTAAAAAATAAAATTGAAAATGCTACTTGAAAAATCAAAAAACAAGTTTCTTACTCACCAACTAAATTAAAAATACAACAATGATCTCTAGTCATTTTTTATTGAAACAAATTTTTTACTAGAAAATATAAATTTAAAAAATGTAAAATCATTAAATTGTTAGGACATAAATTCAAAAATGGTGTTACACTTGAAAATCAAAGCTAGATTCCTGGTAGAAATTTTGTCTACAGTATATGTATATATATATATATATATATAAATAAATACATTTCTTTCTATGTTCAAAATCTAAAGGGCCTCAAGTTTATTAGATGATATTTTCAAAAATTTATTTTGAGAGACTCGGAGTTTCTTTTATTTTCATTTGGGAAGATCCATTGACTTTATGTTAATAGACTAGAACTGCATACAGTGAGTGAGTGAAAAGATAGAGAGGATTTACTCATTTACCAGTTTATGGTATTGTACACAATTTTTTTTGTAGGATGTTTTCACTGACAGTATCATCTACTATGGTATTAAATATCATACATCAATATAATAATATGATAATTTATATCAGTTATGTAGGGTGACTTTATATTTGATTAATTTATGTTTTTAAAATTTGAAATAATTTTTTTCAATGTTTTAATAAAATTACATTATAATGTTATGTACCTACTGGATTTCATTAATTTTTTTTAGTTTCTATAATATTAGCGTATATGAAATTGAATTAAAATTAATAATAAATAAAAATATAACAGATAATTAATATTGAATAATGCTTCTAGATAGATAAATACGCATTGGTGTGTGCAAATCTTGCTGGCAGGAGACGCAGAATATACAATAAAATACAGAATATACTCTCTAACTTGAAATTCACAAGAAAAAAAAAATTGACTTACTAAAAATTTCGAATTATTAAAACATTATATTTTTTTTTTTAAAAAAAGTTTAAATTAATTTAGTAGTTTACATTAAAGAAATAATAATAAAAAAAATACATACCTACATATTATTTTTGAAGAATTGGTGTAAAGTTAATTGTTTAGTTTTATTTAAAACATTGTTCTCTATTATATTTTTTTTTTGTCAAGATATTGCTGAAATCGTTTTAATAAACAGGATTCTATATCAGAGTATTCTCCTAGTTTAATATTTTTGAGAGTTGCCAAGTTTTGATTGAAGTTTTTTAAAATTACATCTTTATTTTTTATTATTGTAGACAACGTACTTGCTGGAATCCGAAATTCCTTGGCTATATCTTGTTTTTTCTTTTTGCCCTTTTCAATAATTTTAAGTAAATTCACTTTTTTTGCAAGTGATAATGTTGTTAGTTTTCTTTTTTGAGCCATAATACACCGTCACACGGTGCACGATTAACCCAACAGACAGCAAAGAACTAAAACTGAAATCTATTAAATTATTTATCTAATCTGTATATGCAATTATCAAGGTTCAAATTACTGATGGTGGACTGTAATGGTTTGGTTTTACGAATTAAGTCATAAGTGAAAAATAATCGCAGTGATAAACTATATATATTCAGTACTAAATTTAGATAAGAAAATTTGAGATATCGAAATCTGTTCCAATTAATTTTAAGTTGACAAGAGTATTTTAACATTAAGTGTTATTGTTTAAAAGGCAATAATATCAATAAAACATTTTTTTTTTTTTTTTTTACAAAAAGCAATTACAAAATTTACTAAAAATTAAATAGATTTCAGTTGATTTAACTAGTTTGTATTAAAAATAAATTGTATTTAGTAAAAAGTTGAAGGTTTTGGGCTCAAAATATTTATGTACACAGAAAATTATTGTTCTACATCCACTGAAGTTATTGGGGCGTATTTTATACATAAATAATTATCTAAATTAAGATTACTACTTATTAAATTGTAATCATCATCAAATGGCTTTTATAATTAAAAAAGTAAAAAAAAACGTTAATACTAGTGATGGGTGCAGTCTTCTGTTGAAGGTAATTAGTGGGGGGAAGGTGAGAAACATAAGTTGTTTAATTTATAAAAACCTGTAACCAATGATTAACGAAATGAAAAACGATTCTGAGTAAAATTTGATTATACGTGTTTTGAAAGTTATTTATATGAACAAATATTTACAATTTTTGTCAAAATTTAATATTAAAATCTCTTTATAAAAAAATACTACATAAAGCTCCGATTTTTTTTTGACTACAAAGTATAATATTTATAAAACCTTTCGTTAAATTTTAAAGTATTTCTGTTTAGTCTAACAATTATATCCACAGAGTACCTCTACTTAATAAAAATTAAATACAAAACTCGCAAAATTAAAATGTCAATAATTAGTTCAAAAATGGATCAAATATTTTGAAAATGTTACCATGTCTAGAAATTGCAAATATAAGTTTAATGTCATAATTTTAAGTCTCTATGAACATTTCTAACTGAATTAAAATAAAAAAGCAAAATTGAAAATAATAAAAAAATTATTTCAGAACATTTTTCTGGACTTTTCGCATTTTTTTGTTTATTTTGCTCAATTACTAAAAAAACTATAAAGAAAAAAAAAAAACCCATTTTCTTATTCAACAACTAGATTACAAATTCAACAATAAAGATCTCTAGATTGTTTTTTATTGGAGAAATATTTATAATAAAAAACATGAGCCATAAAAATGTAAAATAATGAAATAGTATATTTCGTGTTTTTGGTTTTTTCAAGTATTATGAAACATACTTTAGATATCAAAAATCACTAAGGTTGTCAGTAGCGAAATATTATATGGAATAAAATCCATCTTTTGTCATTTATAGATTGTAGAAATACTTTTGATAGAAAACACTGTGTTAACGTAATAAAAACAATGAAAAGAGGTGTTGTAAATATTTGCCGTTTTACCTGCATACTTTTCTTTCGAGTTTTTTCAAATTTCTTCAAAACCCCTCAGAAAATCAAAAAATGAATTCCTCAATACAACTAGAGAAAATTAATTTACAGAAAAAGTCCTACAATTTATACTTCACAGCAAGTTTTCTGGTAGAAAAGTTGTTCACAGACAGAAAATTAGAAAAAAAAAAATACAAAAATACATATCACATTAAAACCAATAGATTAGTTCAGTGCCCCCCCTCCCGGTTTGCATGATTATGTAAATAGTATAGTACTTATATCATGTACTACAATAATAATATTTATGTATTATTTACGTTGATAAGCTTAAACATTGTGGATAAATACTCTACATAGTTTAACGCTGTCTACAATAATAATTGTAAATATGCTACACCCTCTGTTTAGACGGGCTACATTGTTTTCACTTACAGATAACTAGTCCATTAGTATACAGTCAATGGGAAGGTGAAATTATTAATTACTATTATAATCAAAAAAAAAAAAAGAGTATAGAATCGAGAAGAGTGAAAGGTGTCAGTGGCAGCAAAAACTCTTTAAGAGTTGTGATGTCAATGACGAGAAAAAGATAATTATCATCATAAAATTCAGCAGTTCACAGAAATGGGACTGGGCTGAGCCATGACATTGACAGTAGTTAGGCCAGACCAGTAGGCATAACCAACATTATATTCATGATATAGTTATAATTTAGCTATTTAGGTATATCAGATTGAAAACAAATTTATCATATTATGTAGTAAACTAAAAGATTTGTAAAACTATCTGACTATCTAACTATGTATGGAATCTATTTGTTCTATGATGTATACTATATAGTGAATATTATAAATATATATTTTATGGTTATGTTTATTTTGGTTATTTTGGAGTTACCAGTTATCAAATTAGTTCAAATTAGTAATCTTATCAAATTAGTTCAGTAATTTCAGAGATTAGACAGGAATTAATAGATACTTTAGTTTTATTTATATATATAGATAAAATAATATTGTTATCACTGTAATATAAACAAAATAAATAATTAAACTCACTTATTATGGTTATCTAAACAACGAACCAATATAGGTAGTATTTCGCTATTTATAAGTTCATCTATTGGTGGATTTCGGTCAGATGAAAGTAGTTTTCTAGCTGACTGTATGGCTTTAAGTTGTATATCTGGAATATTACTACTAGCTTCATCCACTAAAGACTGCAGGTCATTGTCAGTTAAAGGTTTATCTATATCTACATCAGCTGAAAGCAAAATAAGGTACATAATTCCTTTTTCAAAACAAAATAATTACTAGTTCACCAACTTGACAAAGCTTCAGCGACATTTCTACGTTTCATTAATTCTTGTTCTTGTTTATTTTTCCGTATTCCCATAGATAATTCACTTCTAATTCGTCTTCTTTCCTATAATATACAAATATATATAATTGAATTAATCATTTTTCTTAAATATGTTTTAGTATATAATAATTAACATATACACACAATTAAATATGTGATAAAAATTTATAATTTTAAATTTTTTTTAATAAGAAATTAGTATAGGTATCAATTGATTTTATCAAATACTAACATTTTTGTTTTTTTTTAAAATTAATTTTCATCTATATCCATGCCTAAATAAAATTAATTTTTGATTTATTTATTTTAATTTCTCCACCTTTGTTCAAAATATAAAATCTTTAACTGCCATTAACTTGGCTGTACTTACATACATTTTTTTTATTTCATTAGATCAGTGAGGGTCAAACTTTTTTTACTTTTTTTTTTTATTATAAACAGATGTAAAATATATAATGTATAAATAGATAAATATGTAAATAAGTACTAGAATATAAATTAATATTGTGGTACGAATAAATATTAAATAATAATAAATTATAGCTGACTGAACTCAACCTATAGGTATCCATATTGGCCGGCACTATATTAGATAATTAAAGGTAGAATCTTATGAAACTATTAGTAATGGGAATGATATTAAGCTCCATGAGGAAATTTAAATAAAACTTAAAAAATTAGGAAAGCTAGTTTATGTGTTACGTTCTTGGTTTCTAAATTTATTTCAAAGTATAATTTCATATACAATTTAGAAAGAATTTGATCCTTTTGTACTTATGCTTATGTTTATGTTAACAAATTTATTTATTTTTTGAATTTTTAATAATTTTATAATATGTTAAAATAACATATTTTATGAGAAACATTTGTTTGTAATAAATGAGTATCTAGGTACTCATTTTTTTTTTTTTTTTTGGTTTAAATCAGTCGTGTAGGGCGAACTGTTTGCTTGCACAAATAAATTATATTTACAAAAATGACATTTTAATTAGTATAAAATCAGAATTATTCATATGAAGAAGCAATGGCAATTGAAAGAAAATTTACCAGAGACTGCTGTAGAAGCAATTCAATACTGCACAGAGCTTTTTCCAAAGTATCCAAGTTGTTTGCAATAAATTATTATAAATGAAGAATTGTTAAATATTTTATTAATTTCAACAGGATGTATTCAGAATTTTATCTGGTCATATAATAAGTACACAAATTAGTGAAGATAAAACAAATTATTTTTCATAAGGTTTTTTTATTGCCCCCCCCTTCTATTGAGAAATCCTGGCTACACCATTGGTGTTGGCATAACTGAAGGTCGGCAATTATATAAATGACAAATGTTTTATAATATTTCGAACAACTATCCTGTAACCAAATCTCTTCTATATATAATATACCTTTATATATACAACATCTGTAATTACAATCTGTTTGCTGTACTCTACCTCTCATAGTCATAATTCTCATTAATTCTTCTTAATTTACTATGTAACTAATGTAACTTAGCTAAAATAAATATGTGTAGAAATGTTTAATTTCTAGAATGATTATACTTTTGTTTAAACATATTAGCATAAAACTCATTTTTAGCTTCAATATATAGCTATATAATATGTATATGCTCAATATAGCACTCCCCATGCAATTTGAATTTTATTAATTATTTGCAAATTGTTTTTTTTAATTTGTTATTGTACTTAGTAATACCTACAAATTTTCACTCACTCAGAATTTTTATAGATTAGGTAAGTAAATGAAATATTAATAGAAAAAATCTTTAAGGTGGCTATAGGCAGTCATAGATTCCACCCCATTGAATGAATTATTAGACAATTTTGGTGTAAATTAGTTGAGATAATTAATAATTATTTAAAATTAATATTATTGATACAAATAATAAATTAAAAATAACTTGTTACACTACTGTAGTGCCCAGAGCGGTGTCAAGTAATTCAGTACCCCTTCCCTACAATATAACTACTAATTTTTTTTCTTATTATATACACCTACACGGGACACCATATTACCACACATCACGAAAACTAACTAAAATATAATGTGCAATATTTATTGTAAATAATTGTTAATTTATTTTAATTAAAAATATTGATAAATTAATTATTACTACTAATATATAAAAATACCAAACAATATTCTATAATATTTTTTCTTGGTTTATCTTTGGTATTCACTTCCATGCAAGTCTTGGAACACAAATTGTCTGCTCCTGAACACACCCAGATGGAATGTGACTGCTCAAATTGAAAAAAAAATAAGCACATAGGCCGAACTTATAAGAATGACAGGAAACAAAGCTTAATTTAAAATAATAGAAATGGAAAGAGAAGATTTCAATGACTTTAAAAATGTTTACAAATCAAAAACATTTATGATGAAAAGACAAAATTAAAATGGAGATAAAATTGTGTGAGGATCAATTTAATGGTTTGAATTTAAGAAAAAAGGCCCATTTCAAATATACTACAAAAACACTTTAGCTGTTAATAGAAACTTCCATGTGATATATATGGTAAAACCAATTTCCTGTTGAGGAAGGTTAAGTTCACAATGAGAGTGAATACAACTGAAAACCAAACAATTCCTATTTGTAATGAAAATACTCTTAACATTTCAGTATTAAAGAAAGAAAAATTTACTGTTTTTGTTAAAATATATACCTTTAGTTTATACAAGTAGAAAACCAAGTAGAGGACCCTATACTTAATTCTGAGAAAGAAGATTGATTGATATCTAACTATAATTTTTATTTAATATTCTTGTTTCAATATTTATTTTTGATTCTGAGTGGAGTTATTGGTTATATAATGTTTATTTTAGCCTAGTAATTAATACTGAGTTAGTAAATAATATAGTAGTTGTATTTTACTATCTTAGTCCTTAGATAAATACAAATTAATATAATTTTATTTACAAATTTAATAAAAGTTATAACGGCTATGCCACAGTTTTAAAATAAACAGCTCCTAATATAATATAATTATAATAATTATTAATAATACATTGAGTAAAAGGTTTTACTTATTACTTTAAAGTGTTGTTCAAAAGAATAAAAGAATAAATTAGTCATGTGTAATAGGGAATAAATCAAATTAAAAATACCCAAAAGTAATGAGTCATGCGCTTAAGGAAATTAATCCAAAGTTAATCAAATATTTTAAGTTTAAAGAAAACCTGTGTTTGAAGAACCAATTGAAAAACAAATGTCAAAAATATTGATAAATAATTATAACTTTTGAATATTGTAGATAGTTTTGTTTAGATTTTAAAAAATAATAACATATTTTGTCCTAGGGGCCAAAGGTAGTATATTAAGCTCAAATAAAGGTGACCCCTTTCTTTTATAAAAATATGGTGCCTAGAGGAAATTGTCCCCTCCCCTTAGTACAAATCTGTATTAGTGGTAAACAATTTAAAATAGGTATCTATTTAATATATTATAGAAGAGAAAACAGAAATAATAAAGGCCACAAATAGTTGAAATTTTGTTAGAATTTAATTAAGAGACAAAGAAGCCAAAGAATAAGTAAAGAAAGGATAGAATTGTGGAGGTTTTATAACAACTACAAAAGGTTCTTAATAAACTATAGAACAAGAAAAGAATAGTGTATCGATAGTATACCAGAGAATATCATCAAATTAAGATTTTAAGAATAAAGGAATCTAACTTAGAAGCAAGAAATAATTTAAATGAGACAAGTTTTCATTTCTCTAACAATTTTAATGGTTAGATTCTAACTGATACTATACAGAGAATCAAGTACTTTTTTAGTTACATTGTTTACATGCAACGGCAAGCCAAAAGATTGTAAAGACATCTATTCAAAAAATATAAGATAGAGTTTTTATTTAGGGCATACAATGATAGTTTTGACTAATAAGATTTTCACACAGTGCAAGTTGTAAACTACACACTAAAATTTTTCTATTAAATTAGGGGCAGTACCTATTCATGTGTAGGTATCTAAATACATAGCATTTATCACAACAGTGGATATAAACCTTGATATATAAAATGTTATATAACTTACGATTTCTGTTTTGCCTCGGTGCTTGAAACTTTGGATCCGGTGACCAATATATTTATCGTCGGACATTGTTATTAGATCGATAAATTAAAATAATAATAAAAATCAAAATAATCTGCACAAATCTTCACTTTGTAGCCAACGGCGATAATGGCCTCGATTAAATAATCGAACTGGTTATCTGGCGATGGGCGGCGAACGGTAAGTGTTCGGTTCGTCCGGCAAAACGGTTATGATATTTGTGTCTAATAATTTTTATTTATCGGTCCACTTCCAATGTTGTGTCCGGTTAGACGATACCGAACTGAGTGGCGAGGTGTACACACTACACAATGACGAAGCAACGACGGAAACGTACGACGGGCGAGGTATGAAAAAAAAAAAAAAAACACTTATATTGTTATTGCGAATAAAATGATGCTAAGCGATCCGCATGCTTCTCTCCTGTTTTGCAGGATCGAAAGCGATTGGAGGGAAAGAAAAAATTAAACAAATATATTATATACCCACCTAATAGCTGATATATATTATTATATATATATAAATATACACATATAAATATATATATACATATATATATATAATAATTATTTATATAATAGGTATTTATTATTATGTTTTGTCACCGAAACTACGAAAGGAATGGTTTTCGTGTAATCTGAAAGGGTATAAGCATAAAAAACGCGTGTCTTATGGGTGCGTGCGTGTGCGTGTGATACGAATCGCTGTCGTCGCACGGAGGGCAACGATTATACCTGCTACCTGGTAAGCGGTCGCCGAATCCCTCGCCGGCCACTCCCCGCCAACAAAAATCCGCACGGTGTGGCGGCGGCGGTGGCGTCGGCAAATGGCATTCCGTTAAAAAACATATGACTATTGCGATACACGGAGGTAATTTTTTTCTTTTTCTTTCATCCTATCTCACAATGTTTTTGGCGGCAGAATGCCACCGTCAGACACCTCCCTTCGAGAACTCTCCCTCGTCTCATAATTGCCGGCGACCGGTCGTTTTTTTCACTCTTTCGCCAGGGAACCATGTTACACTTCCACGTTTCAGTTTTTCGGTCCATTAGCGCGCAAAACGACTACTTTTTGATGAGTTGTCCGGTCCGCCCTGCGTAAAAACAACACTGTTACCACCACCCGCCATACATTTCTAATTTAATTGTAACTACATACTAAATACTTATACGGAAACATTGGCGTTAATTTCTATATTGTTTTCAAATTTCAATATTTCCATCCTTCAGCCATGTTCCTTCAGGATTTTGAATCAGTACCTAATACTTATTTATGATTTCGTGATTTGTGTAACACGAAAATCTAAAAGAACTTCGTGACTAACTATGGTTGTAAGTGAGTTTAATTTTTGTCTAATCTACTGGAAACCGTACAGTTAGGTTGGACTAGATTTTTTTATAAAGAATAAATCTAAAAAATTATAGTTTAAAATATTAAACTATCTATATTAAATATTTCAATACCTTATATTAATTTATTGAAAATAATATGACTGCACTAAATATATAAGTGATAACATTTGAATAAATCGGTACAAAAATTATTTACAAACGTTCACATTTGTATATTTTAATTAATTTAAATTTTGTTTAATTTTTATTGAATAGTCAAACTTCTACAATACCTCAACCATTACTTTTAAAGATTAGGAAATTTAATTAACTGTAAATATTTACCTACCAGCTACTGCTATTGATAACTAAAATTGATATCACAAACAATTTAATTGTAAACAAAGTTAACACTAAATTAATTTATCTTTTTTTTTGTTATTATACATAATACAATCAAGTAGCAAACGTTCATATAAAATATTGAAATTCAATACAAAATATTCTATCTCGTACCGTGATGTTTTTCAATTCGGAACCTCCCTAGGAATGATTATTAAATTTCAATAAATGTATTTTGTTTAATTTAAAATATTTTGAATTTTATAATATAGGACAATTATAGTACACCAGAATATTAAGTTATTATTTTAACTTAGAGATAGAACTCACATACATATTCAACTTTTGCAATTGGATACTGGTAAGAACTAAATATTTAATTATATATTTTAATTATTAACATATAATCATTAACTAAATCATATTTTAAATTGCATACCACTGTTGAAGTTAGTATTTTATAATTGTTTATTTTTGAAACCTACAACAAAATATAACAGGTTTTTTCCTCATTTATTTTTCTGTGGGTATCTATTATATTATTATTTATTTGTTGAGTTTATTTAAAATTGTGATTTTATATAAAAAGAAAAATATAGGTTAGGTTGTAGTTTAATCTATAATAGTTTATTCAAAGTTTATAATTTATTTAAATTGATTGTTAATTTACAGGTGTAAGATAATAAATTACTATGGGTAGACATTCGAGTGATTCAAACTCACGGGACAAGAATAGAAATCGAAATCGCTATTATAATCATAAATATAAGTGAGTACTATGTATTTTATTTTAATATCCACTAGATACATTTTGTTTTTTATTATTGTCATGTTAATAATTAATGGTTTAATACAAAATAATATATAATTCTTCTTTCCTTTCGCCTTCATCCAAGCTAAAAGGTAACAAATGGGTTTATGTTGAATTGATACCAGTGTGAAATTCTATCTAATAGTACTAACAGTATGAGGTGTTATAAAGAAATATAACTGAGGTTTTTATTGCTATTTATAGGTCACTTAATAATCTTAAATATTTAATTTTTTTAAAAATAGATCTTCAAGTAATTCATCATCAGAAAGTTCAAGACATTCCAGAAGACATCAGTCCAAAATATCTGAATCGAGGTATTTATGAACTTTGGCAAAAATTTGAAAAAAAATATATTATATTTGCTATTTTTTTATTTTATTAATTTTTAAAATGTTCAAGTATGAGTTAATTGTTTATACTTTAAAATTGTTATATAATTAATGAACTTATTACTATATATAATATATTAAAAAAGTTATTATAATAGTTTTTTATCATTTTAAATATACAGGTGTCATAAAAAATCAAAACACAGGCATAGATCTAGTAGTTCTTCGGATTATTCTTTAAAATATAAACATTCAAGTCATTCCTGTCGTCGTAAAGAAAGTGATTCAAAAAAAAAATATCGCCGGAGTTCATCTTCGTCTTCAAATTCACAGTCAACTATTTCCAATAAATCAAATCAAAATTCTAAATCCCCACATGAAAATCAAACGAGTCCATTACCTCAATTACCAGTTATCAAAGATGACAGTGATATTTCTCTTCAAGAAAATGTTTGTAAGTATATTTTTATTAATAAAATAATACAGTAAAACAAAATTATTGAATGGTTAATACTCGTAAATAAATAAATAAATTAATTAATGTGTTGCCTAAAGTATTATGAAATCTGTATTGTACAACTGGTTTCGAATTAAAAATTCATCTTCAGATAAAATCACAAAGTCAAAAAATAAAATGCAAATATGGAATAATAAATGAAAGAATTTATAGGAAACAAATTATACAAATTGGTCATTTTACATAGAAATAATTTATTTCAATAAGAGATTATTTAAAATTAGTTATTATTAGACATAGATATGTTAAGAAATATAAATTGTTTAGTTATTATTTATTATCTAAAATGTATTGATTGCAGCTTCAGAAGTATGTTTGATATGTGTATTGGTGTATATTGATGTATTAGAGCCAGGAGAACAGAGACAATATGGTTGAACTCTGAAATAAAAATTGTATTCAGCAAAAACACATAATAGTAGGAGAGATTAATAATTTAAAAACAATTTTATCTCAAAATTTAAACCATTTACAAATGTCACACTTTAAAAATCATACTCAACAAAAATTACAACATAAAACCCAGCATTCTTTTCAACCACGAGTTACCAATTTAACTTTTATAACTCTCGACAAAGCTGAAAACAATTTATTAAATAAATGCAATAAATTCAATACATATCAAACATTAAACTTTCAATCAATTAGGAGACAATTAGTACAATGTGATTCTTTTATAAATTATATACAATTTCAAAAATAAAAAATTGTATAAAATCAAAATCAAACAAGGTATAACTTAATAAACAGCACCAATAAAAACTACGGAAATAAAAATCTAATACAATTTAAAATCAAAATAGTATGGTTAAATGACAAAATAAAATTATCAACAATATAGTGAATAAATTAAAAACAAATAATTCCTAAATATTTCCAGTAGATAAATCTTATGCTAATATTATCATTTACCGTAATGAAATTAGTAAAAATAACTTAAGATTTTATAAATAATAATATTCAAAACTTAACATATGACCCAATTATAATTTACACTAAACAAATTAATAAACTAATAACAAATTCAAAAAAATCATACCTTATGTTGAAAAAAAAAATATTATTAAAATTAGATTACAAAATAGAGGCTCCACAATTACATCTATTCATAAAATTACATAAACAAGATAATCCAATTTGTTCATTAATTAAATTTAAAACTGTTCCAACTTATAGCTTTGCTAAATATTTAGACCTTTTCATAATACCACAGGTTTCTATTTACCCTTATTCTCAAAAATATAATTTTTTAATTCAATATTTTATAGGCTTGAACATATTCCATTAAATAAACATAATTATCAATATTATCTATAATATAACCCATACAAATAATTTCAATTTAAATACTATTCAAAATATTGCATAAATGTAATAATATTAAATTCTATGAAATATCAAAATAATATGTCTAACAAATTCGCTAAAATTCTAAACAATAATACAAATCATGTAAAAATCACTTTTAAGACTAATGATAATTTAATTAAACATATTAAACAATAGAACTAAAAAATGTACAAACAATTTGATATTAATACAGACTTAGAGATATTAAATACCTAAAATAACATTTATATTAATTTAGTTTTAGAAGAATTACATACAATAAAATAAAGAAAAATAATTTTAATATTATTTTAAATGTACAAATATTTATTTATTTTTTCATGTCCATGTTTTACTTTTTGACTTTGTGATTTTACTTGCGGATGAATTTTTAATTTGAAATCAGTTATATAATACACATTTCTTAGTATTCCAAGCAACACATTTTATTTATTTATTTTGAAATTTTAACAGTATATTTAAATATTGTACAAATAGTAAGTTCTAACATTTTTTTTCATATTTTTGTAAATATAATTTTTTCATACTTATTTTAATAATGATTACTGGAAAAAAACATTAATAGTAATAATATCTAACCTAGTTTATTCTTTTTATTTTAATTTTGTTAATAGTTGTATACATTTAAACTAATTTATTTTATTAGAATTCTTGTATAAATATTTCAGATGATCTTATCCAAGAGGAAAACATGATGAAACAAGTTAATCAAGAAGGGTTTTTGTTTAAAGTTTTCAAACCTTCATTGGATCAAAATGAACAGAGCCCTGTAGATGATAGTGATATTGATGTTCCAAAAATTCATGAAGAAATTGTTCAAAGTTTGGCAGTAGAAGATTCAACATTTTTAATATCTAACAGAGAAAGACTATTGAATGCAAGGGTACATTTGTTTATTTTAATGCAATTTAATTTAATTTTATATTTGTTTCATTTATTATTTTTTATTTCATTTAGTATAAATTACTCACAAAACAAGAAAGAATTGATAACTGGACACAAAGTTTATTTAAATCATACCAACTGTCACAAAATAAAGATGAAAATTTGATAAATTAATGTATTTGGAAGTATTTTTTGCTTTAGCTATTCAAATGTCTAGAAAATGTATTAACCAATTAGCATAATATAGTTTATAAATTATTTTCAAACATTAATTTAACTATACAGATATAATATTTTTTAAAGTTGTTATTGAAATTATATTTATCTACAATTATATTATTAAATCAGTATGAATTAATATTTGTATTTTTGGTTCTATATAATATACTTCAACATCTATATTACTATCTTGTACTATTAATAATCAGCATTATTAGCAGGACTTGGAAGTTACAGCATTCACATGTTTTGTTTTTGATGAATACAAGAACATATTGAGAAAGAAACAAATTTAGTCCACTGATAAAAAATGATTTATATTATTTTCAACTCATATGTCTAGAACACATCTGAAAAAATGTTTTGTTTAGTTTCAATAATTTAGTACTTTTGAAAACTTTGTTGCATTTCACAGATTTGTCATATTAAAATAATATATAAGATACAACCTTCAATTTAACAATTTAAAGTATTATTTATACGACCTATTTTGATGTTTTTAAGTACATATTAAAAAACTTAAATTTAACTTTCAATTCATTCAATAATAATATAGTACTTAAAATTATTGCTAACCTATTCCAATTCAATAATTATTCTTAGATTCTGAGTGGACAAGGAATATATAGATTTTAAAATATTTATTTCTTTTTCTTTCTGTGGACTACTTTTTTACCAGAAATGTTGTATTGATTTACAATGATAGAACATTTTCTTAAAGAAAATCTGACTAGGGTGATACTTTAGAGAGATCATTTTTTAACTTTCCCAAAAGTTTCCCCAATAAATGGGAAAAGCAGGAAAATAGATATAATGTTAAATATTCTTAAAGAAAATATATAATAAAAAAAGTAATTTACCATAATTTGATTTATATATATTGTTGATAAAGCAACACTATTAACTGAACTCTACTCAAAATCGGTTATTTCATTAGCAATGAATTTTCCCTCTATCTTCCCTACTTCACTTACAACAGTGACCCACCCATAAAGTATATCCATCTTTTTATTGTTGTATGTATAAACTAAATAATATATTTATAAATATAAAAATAAAAAATAAATAATTGCCTGGAGTATTATGATAAGTGTATTATACACCAGTTTCAAATTAAAAATTCATCATCATGTATATCATAATCAAAATGATACAGTTGACTGTATATATACCTGACAATAAATTTTAGATTCTGAGTTGAGTGAAGAAGCTTATGGTTTTACAAAGATGTTTATTTTTTTTACTGAGTATGAAAATTTAAAAGAAGGAATGCATAATGAAAAAATTATTCAAATTGGATATAGAAATAATTGATTTTATTAGGAGAGATTATTTAAAATAAGTTATTATTGGACATAGATATGTTAGTAAATATAAACTATTTGGTTATTATTTATTATTTAAAATGTATTGATACAAAATATTATTTTTAAAATTGATTTGTACATTTAAAATAATAATAAAATTATTTTTCCTTATTTCATTGTATATATTAGGTATTATGTAATCTTTCTAAAACTGAATTAATGTAAATGATATTTTGGGTATTTAATATCTTTAAGTCTGTATTAATATCAAATTCTTTGTGAAGATTTTAGTTCTATTGTTTTATATGTTTGATTAAATTATTATTAGTCTTAAAACTGATTTTTATATGATTTGTATTATTGTTTAGAATTTTAGCGAATTTGTTAGACATATTATTTTGATATTTCATAATTTTCAATATTATTAAAAACATTTGGTGAGTTTTATGTTATTTTTTCTTTAATAAGTTTATGTAATTTTTTTAATAGTATTTAAATTAAAATTATTTTTATAGGTTTATTATGCATAAAATATTTATATATTTTTTATTTTTATATATACATATTTTATTTATATATTTATTTACAAGTATAAACCATTTTAATAATTTTATTTTTACTTTATTATTTTATTAATATATTTGTAATTTACATTATTGTATAAAAACTGAATGAATTCAAATAAAATGTTAAGTAAATTTAACATTTCAGAAATAAATGTAATCATTCAAATTTAGTTATAATTGTATGTTTTTAAGTTTTGTTAAATGCCTATATTTAACCACTTAACTTTATTTATTTGTGAACTTGAATTTGAAATGTTATATCTACCGAATTAAAATATTTTAATTGTATTAATGATATGCAATAATATCTAACATTTGATAAAATGGCATAAATTTTACATACAACTAAAAAGTTTAAATTTTATACTTGTAATTTATAAGTACTGTAAATTAGTTATTTTATATGGGATGATGATAAACATAACATAAGACACTTATTATCTTGAAAAGTATGTACTTTTTTCTGGATTTGTTTTGTAAAAAATTATGTAAACAAGCAATTTTAAATAATTACATAATTTTTTTTTGTCATTCTTATATTTATTGGTAGATCCACTACCCACTTTTGATTTTCAAAATAACTACCTACATTAAAAATATACTTTGGTGGTGAGGTTTATATTCTTTATTCACCAATTTATTTAAAAGTTTGATGGTTTATGAGTAGGGGGAGAGTATTTTGGCATGCTCTACAGCTCTCTCACCTCTCTTTCCCACTGGACTGTTATCAAACTTAAAAAAAGGAATATCTCATCAATGGGTTAAAGTTACATAAAAAATGGATCTTGCAAAAATTGAAATATTTATAAATAAATACATAAGCCCAAATTAGACAAATATATGTTAAAATACAGATTAAGTTAAGTATTTTGTAGTTTAGCTTAAATATATCTACACTTAGTATGATACTATTAACTTATTCAATGGTGAAATTATTATAATACAATAACTGATTAATTGTGTACAAATTAATATTTATGTTAAACAAGAAACTAAAACTGAAAACAAAACTACAAAGGAGTTTTTTTTATTGGGAATTGAAGAGAACTTGAATAAAGGTTAAGAAATAACCAAGTGTAAAATATGTATCTGCATATGACTAGAAACACATAGAAGAAAATAATTTGAAAAAATCACAGATTGTCACTTATATTTGTACATAACGCTAATGTTCGCTAACGAAAAACGATTCTGAGTAGAGCTTAGCAAATAGGGTTGCTTTTTCAACAATGTATATTTTCAAGACAACACTGATTTTTTAAAAAAGATTAAAATAATAAAAACTTAATACTAAAAAAATAAACAAGAAACGGTTGCCAAAGATGATTCATCTATTAATCTTTTTTTTTATCCTAAAATCAATTTTTCCTCAATATCTCGAATATTATTGATAATTTTCTGGATCTCTTCCCTTCTTTTTATTTTTAAAAAAAAATCATAATGAACATAATATTTACCAGCCTCCATTCAAATATTTAAAAATAATATTTATGCCAATATATTGCATACCTATATAATATAATTTAAATTTGCATACAAAATGTGGCAGTAAGCACGAGAATTTATGCTTAATATTGGGTGCACAAAACCATTTTAAATTTTGAATGGGGAGGGAAGCATGGCTGGTGAAATGTACCTAGTGTAATTTTTTGAAAAAAGTAATAGGAATATCATTATTAAATTACATATGAACATTTTCGTTAACAATATTTAATAAAATAATAAAGCAAAAACAAAATTAATAAAATTGTCAAAATTCGTAAATAAATATATAAATAAAAAATGTATATATAAAAACAAAATTAATTAATGGTCGCCTGGAGTATTATACGACCGGTTTCGAATTATAAAGGACGTCCTAGGATAATGGGGAGAGCCATAGTTATAGATAATTTAATGTATACCTATAAGCAACAATAAACCATTGCTTATGAAAAAACGATTCTGAGCGAAGTTCAGTTGATAATGATGCTTTGAAAACAATATAAATATATACACGCTATATTATGGTAAAATAATTAAATAGGCATTATATATTTTCTTTAATAATAATTTTTAATGTTGTACCAATTTTCAGTTTTACTGCGTTTTCCAGGTTTTCCCATGTTTATCCCGGTTTTTCACATTAGCAGGGAAAATTGAAAAACCACTTCTTTGAAGTACCTCTTCAGTGAAATTTACTTTTAGAAAAATTATTATCATTAAAGGTTGAAGCAAATTTGCTAGTAAAAAAGTTATCTACAGAAAAAAAAATCTTAATATTTTACAAATATATTTCGTACATTTAGATTTAGTAAATCCAAAGTAAATCCAGAAGGCAACAAAAAAGGTATGTTGTGATTTTTCGAATAAATCATTTTTTCTGGTAGAAAACATCGTCCGTGTTTTTATAAAATAATTAAATTGTGAAATTGTACGTTCTTGTAAGTTTTTTTCCCAGTTAAATGTTTTTATTTAAAAATGACCTCTCTAAAGTACGATCTAGACAACTTTAGCTTTTAGAAAAGGTGCTAGACTTATACATCGGAACAAGTTTACTAGGAAAAAACGTGTCCACAGACTAGAACAAAGAAGAAGAAGAAAATTAAAATAAACATCTTTGTAAAACCATAAGCGTTTTCGCTCCACTCAGAATTTTAAATATGAAATTATTAAAAATATTTAAGCAATTAGGCATGTGTATTAACAAAAAAGTTATATAATAGCATAGCTAAAATTGCATAAATATAAATACTATTGATAATATATTAATATACCGATGGTACGTAATGTTATTAGATGACGGCTGACGGGTTATCTTTTTCAAAATAATAAATTATCAAATTCCCGGCGTATGACACTGACACGCAAGGTTTATAGATAATAGATAATAATTGACTGACACGTACTAAACATTCAACTCAATAAAGAGTTGTTCTTGCACTCTAATAATATAATTTTATAGTTATCCATTTCGAAAGTTACAACAGTTTTTGTATTCTAATTTTTTTCTGTTCTTAGATTTTTGAGGATTTATCATGTTTCGGTTGATGAACAAAATAACTAGTTCGACACTGCCCGTCGTACAAAAATGTTTTGCCAGTAGCGCACCAAAACCAATTATCAACCCACCAATTAAATATACAGAGGTAATAATAATTTTTTTCAACTAAATTGGAATAATAAACTGTTGATGGTGTATTAATAAGATAATGTTTAATTTATTCAAAAGAATGTTTCAATTTTACTTTTTATTATAATCATGCTACCTAGGTAGGTATATAGTCAAATAGTAGATTTAATGTCAGATCATAATTAAAATATTTAATTAAGTAAACAATACATTAAGCATATTTTTAAATAATAGTACATACCTTATATATTATTATTATTTATTCTAATATTTATATTATTTTTTATAAAAGCTGTATAATCTTAAACTAAAACAAAATTCACATTTGAATTCATGTACAAATCAGTTGTTGAAGTTATTATCTATTGTTGTTTATGGCTATTTATTGGTAATAATATGTTAAAGTAAAATAATTTATTTAGGTTAAGACAAGTATAGGTTTTTAATTTTAAAATAAAGAGGTAGGTATGTTATCTAGATATACAAAATCTCTATTTTCTGTATGCTATCTACATAAAAAATCTTATCTATTGTTAAATTTATAATTATTTCACCAGTTTTGTATTTTTCAATTTAATTAGTTATAATTTTAGATTCTCAGCATAGGAAGGAATGTACTTATTGGTATTATTATATTTTTCTATTAATTTTTTAATTTCTTGTGTGTAAATAACTAATACCAGAAATCTGCTCCAATGAAAAAATATTAAGAGCCTTTTTTTGTTGTATTAGAAAGATAATTTTTTTAATTTGTAGTTATAATAATTGGAAAAACCAGAAAGAAACTTAGGAAATATGCAAAGTTTGTAACATTAATGGTTTTGTCATTTTTAGTTTCATTTTTCACAGAATACTTACATACAATACTTACGTAGCCTTTTCTAGACATTTTTAAAACATTTTGAGCTATTAATTGACATTATTTTTAGTTTTTATTTGGTAGGTACCTACTATAAAACTGTTTGACAAAACATAAATGTTTGACAATTGAACATGAGGTGTATTATAATTTGTACTTAGTGTTAAAAAAAAGTTAAGTGTAATGTAGTAATTTTTTTATAAGAATTTTCAGATAATATTTTGGATCTTATCGTACAAATACATGATTTCAATATATGTGTAACTAAACTTTGCTCAGAATTGTATTTCCCTTAGCAATGGTTTATTGGTGCTTACAGAATTAAATTAAATAACTTGATGTATTCTACTTTTCCAACTACCTACCTACAACAGAGGTCCCATTAGTAGTTTCAAATCTTTTTTTTGTTTTGTTATAACTTTTTATTATGCATCTTTTCTCTTTATTTTTGGATATAAATGACATAAACGTATGTATTATATCATTTTAATTTTTTTCATAGAAAATTATTAATGGTTGGTATAGGATTATGTTCAAGAATTTGAGGCTAATATGATGTATTTTTCATGTCTTCAAAAAATTGATTATGAGGTATAGAACACCTTCATTATTCTTTTATTTGCCTCTTCAACAAATTAAAAGGCACTTGTGTTTTTATATCTATGCAAATTAAACTAAATTAATTTACCAATTAGATTTTGTGTATATTGTATTTTTTAATTATTGGGTAATTTATATATTTATACTTAAGATAGAATAATATTTGTAGCTATTATAGAACACCAATATTAATGTAATAGTAGATACAATTTTTTTATTTATAATATACAGCACCGCTACCAACAAAGATTTATACTATACAACAGTTTTCTATAATAGTATTTTTCTCATAGGCACAGTTTATGCATTTTAATGATAAAAGTAATTGATCATTTGTATAGGTTTTTCAGAAAAACTATTTTACTGATGTATTACTAGTAGCTATAAGGTGTTTATACATTTTTTATATATTTATTTGTATTATTTAAGTGTATAATATATATATTAATAATTCACTATACATTGTGTACATACCGAGTGATTCATTTAAGTGGGTACACTCATTATCTCTGAATGTATTCAATTTTTTCTTGTTTGTTTAGAACATTTAAGAACAAGCAACTCTACAATTTTATATTTATATTATTATTTTTCACCATTTGGATTATCCACACTATTCAAATCAAAATTACTCTCAAGAAGATCAAAGACAACATTGTATAAAGTTTTAATTAGACCTATAGCATTATACGCGTGTGANAGTAGAACATTTCAAATACCTAGGAACTTGGGTGAATGAAAACGCAAATAGTCAGGAAGAAATAAGAGAAAGATTGATAGCAGCAAACAGATGTTATTTTGGATTATCCACACTATTCAAATCAAAATTACTCTCAAGAAGATCAAAGACAACATTGTATAAAGTTTTAATTAGACCTATAGCATTATACGCGTGTGAGACGTGGGCAACCACAAAAATGGATGAGAAGAATTTGGGTGTTTTGGAAAGAAAAATACTTCGGAAAATTTTTGGACCAAAAAAGAATGAAGGAGGTGAACTTGAAATAAGGACAAATGAGGAGTTAAAAAAATTATTTGGAGAAGCCCATATTATAGGAATTATGAAGAGTAGCAGAATAAGATGGGCTGGTCATGTTTGGAGATCTGAAGGAGTACTGGGGAGCATAACAAAATGGAAACCAAACACAAAACGGCCTCGAGGAAGACCCAGACAACGGTGATAGAGTCAAGGATGACCTCGAGATGATTGGTGTGGAAAATGTCAAGTGACAGGGAAAAGTGGAAGGATGTTGTTGTTGCGGCAATGGACCTTAATGGTCTTTAAGACGCCTTAGGAGAAGAAGAAGAACTAAAAGTGGATTTATTTCCTTCATAAACATTTACAACAGATTACCAAAGGGACGTAACCATTTTGTTCTAGATCATATATTTATTAATGAAAATGAAAATTTAACAAATAAAATTAATGCTGGTGTCATACTAACTCATAATTGGATAGGCTAATTTTGGCCTACTAAAAAAATTAAAAAAGTGCTACTATATGAAAAAAATACTAATAACCTATTTATTAATTTTTTTTTGATTATCGGCTTTATACAAATATTAACATATCTGGATCTATTATGAATAAACCAGTAATTCGATAATTTCAGCATGCTTATCACTATCACACACAATCCGAAAGCCCACCAAGGGGAAGAAGGCCCACCGGAAAATTCTCGATTTTCCAGTAAGCCGCTATCCACCCATGTACTAAATAATATAAGTGATTATTGTACAATATGTGTTTCAGTACCGAATAATACTGAATAAGTAAATAATAGAAACATATTTAGTAGTATTGATTCAATTATACATCTCATTTTGAAAATTATTGTATATTAGTCAATGAAAAATGGGCTGACGTATTTGATGAGTATGTATACTGATGTTAATAATTGTTAAAATGTCTTTGAAAAAATAATTAAAAATATAATAGATATATGATGATAAATGCAGGGGAGTCCTTATAGTGGGGGAGGCGATGAAGGCAACACTCTCTGAGAGAAGTGGACTTACATTGGCACTTGGTAGTCATTGGTCCAGAAATAGATATAATAGATATAATCAAAATATTATTTGACATAATTTTTCAGATTCTGAGTGTACCGAAGAATGTGTTTTGATCTTCTCTCATTAGTTACTTTTTTGTGTAGATATTTACTATACAGTGTCCTACGAATATATCCATTGCAATATTTTTTAAAATAATAAAGATAATCAAATTCTATTTTTTGTTATTATTATACGTAGGGTTAAAGATTACAAATATTTATATTACAATTAAATTAAAATAGTTCAGTAAAAAAATTTAAAAAACATAGATATAAGAGGGGTTGCTAAAAATTATTTAAATAATACTTTGAAAACCAAGCGTATTGTACAAAAATAGGTAAATTTATAAGTAAAATAGGTAAATAAGCAAAATCAGAAAAAAAAGCTGTCCTTGGATAATAGGGACTGGTGCAGCCATATTTGTAGGTGGAAAATTGAAGGTAGGATACAGAAGAGAATTTAATGTATATCTGTACACAAAGATAAACCATTGCTAACGAAAAACTATTCTGAGCGCAATTCACTTGATAATGATGCTTTATCAACAATATACGAGTCATATTATGGTAAAATAATTAAATATGCATTATATATTCACTTTAATAATATTTGTTTGATATTGTACCTATTTTCCCGTTTTTCCCGGCTTTTACATTTTTTCCCGATTAAGCAAATCCAGGAAATCTCCTGAGAAAATCAAAAAATGACCGCTTTAAAGTACCTTCCTAGTCAGATTTCCTATTAGAAAAAATACAATCATTGTAAATTGGAGAACAATTGCTGGTAGAAAAGTTGTTCACAGAAAAAAAAAATTCATAATATTTTACAATACTCTATCTAAAATAACAATAGTAGTTAGACCCCCAATCAGAGCCACTCCCAATTTATCTCCCGTTTTATCAACCACATATTGCTCAACCGACAATCACCGTGACGACTTCGTCGCACAGTGGTTTGAAATGAATATTTAACTTACATAAAAACCAAAGTCTGATAAAATGTTTTTTTTATGACATATTATTATTAAATACTACTACACTTATACATACCCATTAGTTGGTTGATTTTATAAAATAACTGTCATGTATATTATTTAAACTTCAATTAAGTTCATAATTTATAGAATTTTACTTGTATTATATCATTCACGTACATTTAATTTAATTTTGCTTTAAACTACGTATACATGCACAAATCAAAATATAAATTTTATTTTGAGTGAATTTTTAAATACAATGTAATGTACAGATGAAAGTAATGTATACAAAAAAATATTTGTATTTAAAATGTATATAATTTTAAAAATGAAATTTATAAAATTTAATTTTAAACTAAAAAATATCCAATTTAAATATAAAAGTTATGTAATGAAAAATGCCCGGAGTTAACTACTTAATCATTATAAATTGTATAAAATATATTTATTGCAGACTCAATTTTAATAATTTTAATTTGCATTTTTCCGCCTATGTGCTCCTGGTATAGATCTGAATACACACCTTTTATGTATTACTCTAAAATATGAATATACTCAAAATTATTCTGCTTATATTGATGTACACATTTAATTAAAGGACAATTATCAGAAGAAGCTCAAGAATGCCAAAACAAAAACTATACAAAAATCAAAGAACATCACACCAGAAAAATGTTACGGTAAAAAATAATGAAGATCTGCAGAATACATTGCTCGTTTCATCAGATCCCATAATATAATCTATAGAAAAAATGTAAAATACAAAAAAGCACGAATTTTCAGATGACACTAAACTATTATTAGTAATGTGTAAAAAATCAATATGATTCTAATATTGAATCCGATTCTGAATATTATTCGAATCTGATAATGATTCAGAATAACAAAAAGTATATTTATATAAGTTATTTAATTCAAAATTAAAAATCCTAATATTAAGGAAGCCTCTGCGTTTAATACTCCTAATGAGGGGTTAATTTCAAAACTGATAATAAATTTGGATTTAGTGCCCTTTTAAACATATAATTTGATGTGAAATAGGTCGATTTTATAAAAATTCAACAAAACCCCCTCCTGTCCCCCTAATAAAAAGTGATTTAAAAATTGATAACAAATTAGGATTCAGCATCCTTCTAAACATATACTTTGGCGTGAAATATGTAAGCTTTATGAAACTTAAAAAAACACCCTATTCTGCACCTCCTAATTATGAAAGGGCGAACTTCAAAACTAACAAAAAATTTGGATTCCACGTATTCATAAATATTAGGATTGATTTATAGCATCACTTTTAGAAGTGAAATTTAAGAGGGATTAATTTTATCTAAGCAAAATATTCATTTCAAACCACCGTACGGCGACTGCAAATAGACGGCGAAGGCGGCCGCATGTGATGAGTGATGACATAGTAGATTTTTCGTAGTAACATTTTAAGTTATTTGTGGTAATCGGTTGTCCAATACCAATACCGTTTTCTGAAACGGCAGAGCCAACGATCCTCGCGTATAGTAAAAGCCACGCCCATACGCAGAACTCGACCGCCGACTAATATTCTTATTTTGGAGAGATTATAATATATTTCGTACATTTTCCTATTTTTCTTCAATTTTTTTTTTTTTAGTTTTTCACATTTGATGAGAAAACTTCTGCATGAATCGAAAAATAACCTTCCTAAAGTACCACCCCAAGAAAAGTGTCTACATAATATCGAGTAAGCTTTCTGGTAGAAAAATTGTTTACATTAAAATAAAAAAAATAAACATCTTTGTAATACCAGTAGATTCTCTGCTTCAATCAGAATCTGAGAAACTTTTTATTTTATTATTTTTAAAAATTATATATTGTATATTCTTCTGAAAAAAATGATGTTTCAACTTTTTATTTTCATTAAATTCAAGATTTTTAAGTTTAAAAAAAGTACCTTTAATTAGAAAATAGACTGTAATCGCATTCGTTAATTGTTTTTTATTATTATGGCTAATTGACTGTACACTTTTTTCTCTGAACTTTAAAAACTATTAAAAATCACAAATTTAATGAATATAAAAGATTAATAGGTCAAAAAAATAAACTCTACAAAATTACTATCGTTAGTTTTTTTTTCAAAAATAATAAAATAAAGGTTTTTTTAAGTTTTTTACCAAAACAAAAAAAAATTAATTGAAATATAAATATTTATAGTTCTTATCCCTGTGAGTCATAAAAAAAAACATAATTTGATTATCTTTATTATCTTTGAAGATATTACTATTGGGTATACTTCGTGGGACACTGTTTACACAAATTTTCTTTTTAATCAATGAAATTTATTTTTCTGGAATTGTTTCATTATCTTTTCCATGTTCTATATAATAAAAATTTTAAATATTTTTCACTATGAAAATGTACGCCGCACGTCTACTTCGACATGTTATTCAGGCATTGTGTAGGGTATTAGGACCTTAAACCGTCGTCGGCCGTACCCATCTACGTCCTGTTTTACCAATGTTTTCTTTCAATTAGACCCACAGAACTGATTAGACCTACCAAGTACGGTTGTAGATAACAAAAATAATAATTTTTTATTAGATGTTATTTTCCTAAATATTACCTAATCACAAATATATACAGAGTGTTGACGATTATCTGTCGTATTCGTGAATTGAGCCATAATGAACCTTTTTTAAAAAAGGTTTACAGTAATTGGGCCACTATTTTAAACGATTTTAGATTAGACAAGAGGTAAACCACTATTTAATACTACTATTTTAAACTATTTTTAACCATATTATTATTTTTTCTATGATAACAAATTTAAATTGCTTATGTACATTATAATCGATGTATGTTGACGGCACTTTTGAATACTGTGCAAATCAATCTGTATCACATTATTTAAAAAAAAAATTAATTATTATTTACCTAATTTTATATTAGGTATGTAATTTTATATATTTAAATTTTTGCCTTATACATTTGTGTCCTAATCTCCAGGTACCCTTTAAAAATATACCTTTTATTTGTGGTCCAGTACCCAGGTAATAAAATGTACACAAATATTATTTACAAAGCAGGTAAATAAAATGTGGTCCAATTCCCGACCGCCCGATTTGCCACTTGAAATAACTGTTGTTCTATTCGATATTTTTGATATATTTTTTTTTAATAATATGTATGCCTCTGCGCTACAGTTTATAAAACACAATTTTTTTTTAGGTGGAGGGGACTTAATATAAAAAATTAGCTATTTTGTAAAATAGATTTTTAGACAATTTTTGCTGGTTGAAACTTTTTTAAATTATGGTTTTTTATTTTCTACGATTTTTGAAGTTTTTGCAAATGTGAATATTACCAATTATGGTTATTCTATTACAATATTTAATCAGTTATTAGTCAGAGCTCATGACAAGGATTTTCTTTTCTATGAACTAATATCATACAATAATACTATCATATTACAGGTAATGGGTATTGGAAAAGTATATCAATAATGACTAGGGCTCGGATTTTAAAGCAAATGCTTTTTTATATCTATTTAAGACAGAAATCTAATTTTTATACATAAATTCGTTTCACGTCATTCTGATTCCAAAGAAACGAATTTATTTTTGCTTTTTTTTGTGTAAATGCTTTTATTGCTTTTTCAGTTATTCAAGCTGTGGAATTTTTATATATTTATTATGCTATAGTAGTAAAAAAATGTTTATTTAATTAATAAGAAACGTGAAAACCCGGAATATGAACTAAATGGTAATATTGGATTATTATAGTTTTTGTTATCGGCTTTATTGTATATCTATGTATAATATAAAAATAGATATTAATATATTATATTTTACCCATCGCCAGACCATAACCGTACCGTTAGTGTGAAACGACCTTTAAGGAGCCCATACACGGTCAGTTATGAATGTCAGTTTTTGTGATTGTCACTCGTGATTGACCGTGTATGTTGATGAATGTCAATCTTTTTTTGTAACTGATGAATTTCAAAAAAGTTTGATTTTTTGTTGTCAATCAGAGTGATTGACAATCATGACTGACCATGTGTGGTAATTATTTATACTTATTCAAAACAATAACAAAAACATTGATTTGCAATAATAGCACTTCTCATATTTGTATCTTTTTTTTTGATAAAAGGTTCAACTTTTTCTAATAATTCCATAAATGTTGAATAGTCCATTAGAAGAAAATTTGCATAATCTTCATTTGATGTCAATAAAAGTTCATCTAGTAGGTGATGATGTGTGTATTTGGTTTTTTTTAAAAACCATTCTTTTGACCATATTCTTTGTTTTTTCTTTCGTTTCCTTCCTTCGTCTGCATTAACTGTAGCCAAAGCAACAATAATTTCAATGCAAGCTTCTACCATTTTTCAGAAAAATTTGGATGTACAATTACAATAGGGCAATAGAGCATAGGCTACGATAGATTTAGTTCGTGGCATTTGTTTTTATCTTTAACCTCAAAGTGAAGAATTATCAAACTATTGTCATTCATGATTGAAAATGTATATCTATAACTATGATTGACCATGTACGTCATTCATAAGAGTTACAATCATAAAAACTGACATTTATAACTGACCGTGTTTGGGCCCCATTAAACGTAGACAGCTTACAGGTCTATTGCTTATCGGCTATTGCATATAGTCTGTAGAACCTACGCTCATTACTCGTATATATCGATGCTTTATACTCGTAGTGTTGTAATTTATTAAAATGCCGAAAGTTAAAACAAATACATTTTTAAAAAAATTAGTGTTAGAATTTGATGACAAATGTTTTCAAACGGATCGATTTTATATTCAAAACTTTGTGAAATAAATGTGTCTGTGAAAAAAAATATAATGTACAACAGCATGTATGGAGAGAAAAACATGTTCAAGCTGTTAAAAGACACGAAAATGAAAAGTCTGCATTAATCCAACCATTTTTACAACAGTTAAGTGATCAGTCAGATTTTCATGCTGATTTATGTTCAAAATTGGTAGCTGCAAATATTCCAATGAATAAACTAAATAATAAACATTTTCGGGAATTTTTAACAAAGTATTGCAAAAAAACTATTCCTGTCGAGTCGACATTACGTAAAAGATATTTCAATTCATGCTATGTGGGTGTCTATCAATGAGACTACAGACTCGGTACGTCCTAATATTGCAAATATAATAGTGGGCACATTACAATCACAAAATCCAAGTAACATGTTTGTTATTTACACAGAATACTTGGATAAAGTTAATCATAGAACAATATTCCAACTATTCAATAAAGCTATGCATATTTTGTGGGGAAATGGTGTAAAATATAACGAATTTTTGTTATTTGTCTCAGATGCGGCACCTTATATAAAAAAAGCTGGTGATTGTATAAAAGCGCTTTACTCAAAACTCATATATGTAACTTGCTTGGCACATACATCACACAATATTTGCGAAGTACGTGCACACTACCAAGATGTAGATTTTGGAGGAATGAAAAAAACGTTTTTAAAATGTCCCAAACGTACAGCAATCTTTCATGAGAAATGCCCAGAATTCCCAAATCCACCAAGACCAATAATGATCAGATGGGGTATATAAATCAAATCTGTCTAGTATTATTGCAAATATATAATGAATTAAAAAGTGTAATGAAGACTTCGAAGAAGAATCTCAATGTGTTAAAGTAGTGAAACAACTATTTCAAAATGTAACTATTCAATCAAATTATATATATTTTAACGAACTTTGAATTTCTACAATATATTACTACAACATTAGAGGAAAAAGGTAACTTTTAACAAAGTATTTAAACAGTTTAACATCATAATACTAAATTATATGTATAATTTTAGGTGAATCGTTAACAAAATGTATAAATATTGTCTTAGATGCAGAAAAGAAGTTAAATGAAGCTAATGGAGATATTGTAACTGCAATTTCGGGTAAACTAAATCGTGTTCTTTTAAAAAACAAAGGCTGGAAACAATTACTGGACATTAATAATATACTGTGTGGCGCTTCATCATACGAAATTAATTATCATGGTTTTGATTTAAACAAAACCTCTTGCTTGAAGTATGCATCGATCACTTTAGTAGATGTAGAGCATTAATTTGTATAAAAACATCCTTGTAAGACAATAGTCAGTTTCACTACTGAAAATCGTGTCAAAGGTATGGTAGTAAATTCTTTTTTTAATTTAAATTAATTTTTCAATTTTTTTTATTCAGTTTTATAAAATTATAATTAATTCATGTTAATTTTTAGTCATGCTTTTTTTTTTGCTTTATTAAAAAATAAATATGCTTCATTTTTACTTTTTTTAAACAATTTTGTGCTTTTTTTTGTTATTTATTATGCTTTAAAATCCGAGCCCTAATAATGACCATTTATGTTAATAAACAATATTGTCATAATTAAAAATTAAATTATTCAAATTTTAAAAAAAACGTAGAAAATAAAGACCATACTTTAACAAAAGTTTCAACCACAGAAAATTTTCTAAATATCTATTTTACGAAATTTCTATTTTGAATTTTTTAAAAAAAAATTATAGTAAAATTTAAAATTTAAAATTTTAAGTCCTCCTTCCCCTAAAAAAAAAAAGTCCATATATAAACTGTAGCACAGAGTCTTATTAATTATTTAAAATATATATATATATATATATTAAAAATATTATATATAACAAAGGTTATTTCAAGTGGCAGATCATCGTGTGATACCTAGTGTGTATATATATATATATAATAACCAGATAGTTAACTTCATAATCAACAATATATGTCACATCCATATGGTAAAATTGCTCATTTCATGTATTGGATGTCCAGATAGTGAAATTCATCCAGGTTGTGAATTTTGACGAAAATTCATTACATAGATATTGAACATTGATTTCATGAAAGGGACATCCATTTCAAGAAATGAAAAATACTTTAATTGTACACTTTGTGTTATTATTATAACTTATTTAACAATACGAATACATTACATTTTATTTTTAGTAAATCACACGTAGTATATATAAATTATATTTGTCTATATCAATAAAGATAATAATGTTATACCTATGCTCTGTATTATATGAGAGAGATAAGAAATTAAATTTAGGTAATTTCATATTCTATATCAAATTAATGTTTTCTTATCGGATAGGATTCTTATGTTATTCAACAAAGAATATTTAGCAAGTAATTTTCTGTAGTGTATGTAGTTTGTACGGGGATTTAATATTTTACATAATAATTTTTAATAACAATGGTAAGTAAAATAAAAAACCGTACACTAAATGTGCTTAATTACAGATGATTAATGAAATAGGAATGTAAAAAATTAAGACGTAAGTAATTTTGGACTTAAATAAAAAAAAAAAATGAAATTAACTCACACATATATTTCAAAACTCATACAATCATAGAAAAACTGCTCGACAACTACAAATTTTAATCTTATTTATTATTATTGATACAGACAGGGGTAAAGTAGAGCAACCAAAAAAAGAACAGACGGTTTTTAAATTCATTAATGCGTTGTATTAAGAGTATGAGAGTTGATAGGGGACCTACAGATCAGCCAAACATAATTTGTGTGATCACGGAACAAAAAAATGAAAGATTGTATAAAGTTGGAATAAAGTATGAGTTAGTTAAAGAATGGTTAAATAGTGAATGTTTGAAAATATCAACAACTCAATTTGTCACCACTGATCAAGTTGATAAAAATGTAGAATTTTCAGTGCGTGAAATGAATAAAAAAATTTCAGGAGGGCAAGGATTTTTGTCTTATTTATAAAAGGCAAACACTCCTTGTCGATCAAGTACGTGTAAATGTTTTAAAAATAATATGCTATGTAACAGTCGATATCATTCAATTGTTTAATCAATTTAAATTAAATTTAAAATAAATCATTTAATCAATTATCTTACAAAAATAAATAATAAAATAAAATAGAAAAATATATATTTCATAACATAAAATTATTTTTTTACTATCAGCGTTAGTTACTATCGTATTATCATTAATTATTTTTAACAATTTTTAATTATTATAATTTATTAGAAATATAACATAAATAATATAAAAATATTATATTATATTATAAATTATTATACGTATGGTTTATTAAAAATAAAATAAAATGTATTGTTAAATAAATTATAATAATTACACAGTGTACTATATAAGTATTGTCAATTCCATGAAATGGATGTCCAATGCACATATAATGAATTTCGTCGAAATTCACAATCTAGATGAATTTCACTATCTGGACTATTACATTGCAGTTCATGAAATGAGCAATTCTGCTATGTGGATGCAACAAATACAATTATGATGCCCACCCAGCGCCATTTGCCATTTGGATAATGTTTATACATTTCTATTATTTGTATTCTGTCCTAACCACAGATAAATTTAATAAGTAACCATAAGATACGTTAATATGAAATATTGACAGACAACAACGTATTATTATAGATACGCAAAGCAAATTAATTAAAGTACTGACATTTTGTGAGCACTTGTAATACCTACTTCAAGTATCTGCCAATATCAGACGTCTTATTTACTTAATACTTATTGTTCAAATATAATTATAATTCTGTTACTTGCGATAAATGCACAGAAAATGAACACACCGTCTTTTAGATCTATGAATTAATATTAACTGTACAGTTTTATCTTTCCCGAATCACACAAGTCGTATAATTTTAGAAATTGAGCCGTATTTATTATTTTTTGGAAAGGAGGAGAGTGCTTAAGAACTATTTACCATTATTTACAACCCTTTACCCTCCTTGAGTAGGTATTTGTTCACATTCTTCACACAAAGTTAAGTTAGATACGTCATTGTTATCACCCTTCTTATAAACAAATAAATAATAAATTGATATTAGTTAGAGATGCTACGAACTCTGATCTTTAAGCTTGAACCAAACCTACCGAACTTTTAAAATATTTTATCGAATTCGACTTTCAACATTAAAAAGTAAAAAGGTTAGTTTAAGTTAGGTTAACCTTTACGACCTTTACCAATTTACAATTATAAGATCCATTTATGCGAAAAAATTGATTTTTTCTTGTTCGTAACAAGGCCTCTCTGTCTCACCATAAAACATATTGTGAGATAAACATATAACATATAAAACATATAACACCAAACAGGTGTTGATGACCACGCAGTATCGTCATCGAATGATCTTTGAACGAAACTATTGGGTATTTAGTTCGGTTCGGAAATCAAACAGTTCGTTAAATTTCTATTATAAGTTATTACTTTTACTATAAAATTTGAAGTTCAGACTCAATATTCTATTATTCAACTGTCTTACACCTGTAATCACGCATAAGTAACTACGACCCACCCAGTAAGAACTCGCCAGATTAGACAAGTGAACACTTATCAATTAGTATTAATAACTGAATCCTAAATTCAACAAATAATAACAGCATATTTTATTTCTGATTATACCTATACATTTATCTCTCGTGTTAATTAACATCCCTTCCCCTGTAATTTTTAAAATATTTGACTCGCCTCTTGTAAGACTCACGAGGCACCACTTGACCCACCTTCCTATTTTGGTTGGAACACGTGCCTTAAAAAAACAATATTCCCCATGCCAGTACACATAACTCACTTGTAGACATTGTCGGTTATTGATAAGTTATCACAAACCATAGACTGGTAGGTCAGCTCATGCAAAATTGGAGACATACAATCAAACCCTCTGTCGAGCACAATCAACTGCGAACGTGTTTTTCCTAAACCTTGACCTATTGACGGATAATCCACTCTGTAAGCATCCAATTTTGCCTGCACTGCTTGTGCCAATAAAACGGTACTGTCGTAGTAACTTCTGTATCGCACCGAAGGATACTCTCCCAGTGACAAGCACACGGTTGCAATCTGTTGAGCAATATGATTGATTTTCGACCGGATATTTTTACGATGTAATGGATTATAATGAGTTTGAAACATGTCATGGCAGTTCAAAGAAAACACCTAAGAATACATAAAACAAATATAGATACAGACTGTAGGTACAATGAGGCTAATTATAATTTATATTATTAATAATTGGATACCAAAAAAATATTAGTTTAAAATCATACCTGATACTCGTTAGGTATGAACGCCACGTTAATCTCTTTGATCGTTTTAATGTTTTTATTTATATCTGAAATGCGCAGTTTTTCGAAAAGCTGTTCCGGACAACCTTTTTATTATAAAATAAAACAATAAAAAAAATTATTATTTTATATTATAATGATATTATTATTATAATTATAAACAGACCACTGATTTAGGTAAGGAAGTTCTTTGTTTTGTAAAAATATGATTTTAAATCTAACTGTAGCTCGCGTGTAACTTATATAACTACATTACCTAGGCACTATATTATTTTATATATTTTACAAAAAGTTTACTGACAATTTTCGACTTTTCAGCTACCTTTCTATTATATAATTTTAAAATAAAATTACATTACATTATTTCTTTAATAATTACATTATGTTTTACATTATTCTGATCAATCTGTATAGGTATATTCCCTGTATATTCTGGTTATATATTTAAATGGCAAAAGCCTAAACTGAAAAAATCAGTGAAATATCAAAAATTAAAAAAATACTTTACTGTAAATGAAGTTTACATGAGCGGCTTTATACATGAGTTTTTTCTTGTTGGAAAAATCATCCATAAGAGCATTTATCGATGTTTCGTTGGGAGTGATGAAATAAACTGCTTCATATGCATTCAACTGTTCACGTGCTTTGAACAAATCTTCAACAACTATAAAAAAAAAAAATACAAATTAAATCAAAGACAATTAAATACAATACGCCAATGGTGAATTAATCAATGGAGGAGATTTTGTGGGAGTATCCTTGAGAGGTTTAGGGGTCTAAAACCTTCTCAACCTTACATATAGCATAACAAAATTGCAATGGGAGATATATCACTCACAACTCTCCTAGTTATACGCCATTATACATACCAGTAGTTCTCAACGAGGGCGATATTGCCCCCCTTCTCACCAGTGAGTGGTGAAAGGGTAATGTGGAGGTAAACTAATTTTGGGAGGTGAATTTTTTTTGAATGGTAGGGGGACGGTGAGCATGGTTAGGGCCGTAAAGTAGTGGTGTTTATATATGTATTTATATTAAGAAGTAATAACTGAACCAAGGTTAATCTGTAATTATTTCCGTTTATCTATTTATTTATAAAATAAACACGTGACTATGAAACTTTGTGCAGAATTTTGGTTTCAACGAGTTCAGCTAGTTTTTAATTTTGTCAGACCTACACGAGAACAATAAAATTTCCTTTGATAACACTCTAGTTTACTATTAACACTTTGAGTCATTGAATAAGGATTTTTCAGAACGTTTTGAAGATATTTTATCCCTGGACATTCCTCAATAGGTCATAAATCCCTTTATAAATATTGTAACATCAAAAATACAGAATCAAGAAGAATGATCGAACTTTCAACAAATAATATGTTAAAGCTAGTTTTAAGATTGATAAACACCTTACAGAATTTTGGTTTCAATCTACTATAAGTCGAATCTATCCTGAACTATCCTGTTGCAAAAAAAAAAATATTATACATACACTCATATTATTATTTGTTCAAATGTATACCACTAGACTATCCCGTCCCCGGGGTTTGGAAAAAAAGCAAATGGAGAAAATAAATAATCTATATATTTTTAACTCAAAATAAGATACAGCCCCCTCTCAAATCCACCACTTCATGAATAACATGGTTTAAAAAAAGATGGACATACTTCGCACGAAAAATGGGCCATTATTGTAGGTAAAACGTTGGAAAGGTAGAATACAGACGGTCATTTAATGTATATCTGTACGAGACGATTACCCATGGCTAACGAAAGACGTTTCTGAACGGAATTCGATTAATAGAGTTACTTTAAAACTTTAATATTAAAATTTTATAAGAAGAATTTTACATTACACTAATTTTTTTTTTATCCCAAACTGTGATTTAATGATCCACCCATTAAGTTTTCTAGAAATTCTATTTGGTCGAACAATTCTATCCACAGGGTACCTAAGAAACACAAATTACGTAAAAACAAAACCTGTAAAATTAAAATGCCTATAAATAGCTCAAAAATGGCTAAAATTTTTTAAAAACTTTGCCAAGCATATAAAAGGCAAATATGTCCAAATTCTGTCTAAATTTCAAGTGTTTATAAATATCTTAAACTAAACTACAACAACACAAAAAAAAAATTTTAAATTATATAAGCGGAAATTTTCCGGTTTTTCTTACTTTTTTATGAAAACGCCTAAAAAAAACAAAAAAAAGTACAACCCCAGTAAAATTCTCTTTTAGAAAAAGTTCTATAATTGATACTTTGAAGTAAGATATCTGGTAGAATTTTCGTATACGGTAAAAATAAATAAAAATAAAAATCATTGTAAAAATTATTTTTAACTAAAAAAATACCAATTTATTTTACATGTTTAATAAAAATTACGGTTTTCCCCCTCTTATATGTTTGGTTATTTATATCCTATTACCTATGTGATGTTATTTAATTTGTTATATTTTAAAATAGATTTTTTTATCTTATCACGAACGGCGTATTTTTACGTGATTATTTTAGTTATTTTAATTTCTTTTTTTTGTTTAACATCAAAACATATACATATTATATAAAAGAAAGTTCAATATATAATGCTGATACCTACTCCTTCTAAGCAATGCTTGTGAGGGGAGTAGAGAGTCTTGATTTACTCTAAGAATAAAAATAATATTAATAATGCATAATATAAAAACAACACAATAATAATAATTAATGAAATAAAATATTACGAAATAACATAATTATCTTTTTTGATGACATATTTAATATGTATAATTGTTCAAATAGAGGAAATATAAGTGAAATAAAACAATTAAAATGCTATAAAAGCCGGCATTACGAAATAAAAAACAAAATATAAAAAACAAAAATAATCTAAACAAAGATTCGTAAGAAAACAGAAAGAAAAACTAGACATTGGTGAAATAGATTTTTGAACTTTTTCTTTATTTCGAACTTAAATTTTAAATCGTTATCAATTGCTTTCATATAACTAGGTAGTTTATTAAATAATAAATAACCAGGTACAATAATTAGATACGTTTACGATTTTTCAAAATCATTTTTTAATTCAATCAGTTATGTCCAAGAACAAAATTGACCGTAACTGCAAAACGTAATATTGCAATCATTAAAAATATAATTATCATAGTTTTTTAGTTTTTTACAAATATTATCAAGAGTATAAAATTTAAAACAAAGGAAATGGGTTAAACTGATGTATCTAATTTTTACAAAAATAAAACTCCACAATTTTAATTTTTGGTTCATTTTCCAATTTTATAGATAGTTGGTGTTTCCTGAACAATAATTTTGGAAAATGGACGTACCTGATTATTGCACCAGGGCCTTTTTATGCCCCTATAAACATAAACAAGTTTTATCAAATTAGTGTGGTTTAATTAAAGCTGAATTTCCAATATTCGTTTTTCTAGTAGCTAATGTGTATTTTAGTTTAAATTGATTTCTTTGTTTATTGATTTTTATTATAATTATATAATAATATATAATATAATAGTATAATTGACCAATTTTTAATAATTTTAAAGTTTTAAATAAATCATCTGTGTCATTATTTTTATTATAAAAATGTTTAAACATCATTCAAATTTATATTCTATGGGCCATACTTAATGGTTCTAACGCATTCTTATATGCAGAACTCTATACTATAATACAATACATAAGTATTGGATTGCAATACAGCAAAAACAATCATGTTTGCATTTTTAACATCAAGAATATTATGCAATTCTTTAAATATATAATAACATTTTATAATACGTGGTATTATAGTTGTAATATGAGATACCCATTTTAAGTGATCATCAAATATTATATCTAAATATTTATTAGAACTTACTCTTAATATTTCCCTACAATATTCTTAACAGTAATTTATATTATCACTATTCCTATTACACTTATTTGAATGTAATTGTTTGGTGAATTAGCTTTTGATATAGAAAATGTGATATAAACTCATTTACTAGAGTTGAATAATAAACTATTTTTCGAATACCATTTATTGATCTTAGATAAAGCTAAGTTTGCTTTAGTTTCAACTTAATTTCAATAATTGTCATCAAAAAATACGGCTGTATCATCAGCATACACTAACATTTTTTTCAATTTATATCGAGGTCTATTATATCATTTACATTTATTGAAAATAGTACGGGACCTAAAACAGTTCCTTGAAGGATATAAAATTAGAATATTTTAAAATCATTTAATATTTCCATTAATTTGTACTACTTGAGGTCTATTAGAAACATAGGATTCAAACTAATTCAGAAAAATATTTTGTCCTATGCTTTTTTAAACTTACAAAATACTATTTTATGGGATATTGAATCAAATGCTTTAGCAAAATCTAAGAAAATACCTATATATTTTTTATCATTATCAAGTGAATTATAAATTAAGTTTGCAAAATGGACAATTGCATCTTTACTACCAGTATGCTCATGAAATCCAAATTGCATATTGTTTATGGCACTTTTAATTATAATTTTACATGTAATTATTGTACAATAACAATCGAAAACTGAGCGGATTTCAAAATACTGTTCCATTTTAGATTCTGAGTGGAGCGAAGAAGCTTATGGTTTTCCAAAGATGTTTATTTATTTTATTTTTTTTATTTGTGCGAAACATTTTTACCAGTAATTTTGCTCGAATTTATAATGATAGCACTTTTCTAATAAAAATCTGACTGGATAAATACTTTAAAAAGGTTATATTTTGATTTTTCCCAGGAGTTTTCCAAATAAATGGGAAAAATTATGGGAAAACCGTAAGAAAAACGGGAAAATAGGCACCTAAAATATTAAAAAAATATTATTAAAGAAAATATATATTTCATATGCAATTATTTTAGCTTAATATGGCATATATTAAGCAAATATATGACAAAGCAATACTATCAATTAAACTCCGCTCAGAATCATTTTTTCGTTAGCAATAGTTTATCATTGCATAAAGATAAACATAAAGTTTTCCTTCTACCACCTCTCAACTACACACTTAACCTCTTACCTACACAGTGGCCGCATTTGCACCTATGTGCGAAATATGTCAGCCTTTTTTCTTTCTCACCCACTTAATAGCAGTTAATATGTAAACAGTTTTAGTACTATCAAACAAAATTAAACAAAGTAATTTAAACTTAAAATTATAATCACTTTAGATTCTGAATGTAGTGAAGAATGTGTTGGTTTTACAAAGATGTTTACTTTTTTTATTTTTTATACTGTGTACCAAAATTCTACCAAAAATCTTTCTTTGATATTTACACACGGCACCATTAAAGCGCTATTTTGCTATTTTTAAGTGCCTATAAATCCGTTCTCTAATGATTATTAATAGTATAGCAACAATTTCGAGATCGCGTATTCACGTAGTATCACAAATTAATCTATTTGTGGTATCACAATCCCCATTTATAAGCAGTGAATATCACTTGTACGAAAAATTATAAGAGACGATTTCAGAACCCGGTCGCATATTAACAAACTGCACACGAAATAAAATACTACCCGATGTGGTTTTGCATAACAAATCTGGGTTTATTTTCGATTAGTGAAGTACAAAATGATGATATTCCACTTCACAAAAGTTCAAGGGAGTACAAGTGCAACAGTTGCGCCCCCTAAGATTACGCCAATGGTTCTGATGTTAAAAAACTATAGTTTTACAACATACTTATGAGCTTTAATTTTAGATTCTAAGTGTAGCGAAGATGTATTGGTTTCACAAAGATATTTATTATTTTTATTTTTTATACTGTGTAAAAAATTCTACAAGAAATCTTGCTCTGATATATACGATTTAGACCTTTTTCTGATAGAAAATTTTCTTGGGGTGGTATTTTGAGTAAGTCATTTTTTGATTTTCCTGGAAGTTTTCCCAATAAAAGGAAAAAGTGATAAAAACGTTAAAAAGGAAATTCATGAAAATAATATGCTTTATTATTTTTTCAATTTTGTTATTTGTTATAATTCAGTTAAAAATATTCATTAGAGACATGAAATTTGGACAGAAAACTTATATTTGTTTTTTCTAGACATAGTAAAGTTTTAAAACATTTGAGCCATGTTTAGACTTTTTATATATTTAATTTTGCGAGTTTTGTACATAATTTTTATTCGGTAGGTACTCTGTGGTAAAATTGTTCGACTAAACAGAAATGCTTGAAAATTTAACAGGAGGTATATTAAATGTATTACTTTATGATAAAAAAAATTGAGTTTAATGTAGTATTTTTTTTTATAAAGGAATTTTAATATCAAATTTTGACGAAAATCATTGGAGTAAATTTTTTTTGTTTTGAACCATTTATATAGCCGATATAAGAACGATGGTTCTTACATCAGGAAAATAAGTTTAATATTGTACAAATATTTTTGAAGAAAATGTTTAATACATATTGCTTATATATTTGTTTTACCATAATATGACATATATTTTATTGTCAAAGTAACACTATCAACTGAACTAGAAAGCTCAAAATCGTTTTTTCGTTAACAATGGTTTATCGTTGCTTACAAATACAAATTAATTTCACATTTATATCCTACATTCACAACTTCTCATCAACAACAGTGGCTGCATCGTGCGAATTATGTCCATTTTTTTAAAAATTTTTTATAATTTTTAGTTTTTTAATTCAATAAACAGAAAAATAATTATTATAGACCGTTACACCACCTAATAGCTTGGTCTAATTGTACTGAAAATGTGCACTTATCAATATTTTATAATATACATACTAACCACTTTTAAGGAGTCGATGGAGAAAACACGAAATTTTATTTCTAACTTACATAACTAATGGCATTCGAATATACATATCTACCTACATTATATTATGCACACCGCGCGCAGTACTCCACCATTATCCCTTTGGTACGAGACGCAGGGTAAGGGGGCTTTTTTTATAGGGACAAATAATCGTCCGGGACGGACGCACCTCACGGTCTGCGCCACACGTCCCAGATACCGTGGTCACAGCGCATGAACGCCGCTATACGAACCGTGGGATTGCCGCGGCTGTGTGTGATTCAACAATCAACACGCTTTATACGCTCGTGGCTTATTCATCGGACGGCGGGATTAATAAGGGTCTGTATTCCACCACCCCCCACAAGCCTCAGTCTAAATTGTTTAGACGTTGTATAATCAAAAAGGGATTATATAGGATTTTTGTTGCGCATTTTCAGAGAGATGCGTCGGATCAATACGTCGTATTTTATATTGTTATTACTGTCGTGTCAAAATATTTAATTTTAATGACAAATAATAAACATTAATTTAGCAATTGTACAAATATAATATATTTCTATACAATTTTACCAATCAACCAAAAACTGTTTAAATATATTAGAAGTGACGTGAGCAGAGGGTGGGAGATTAAAGTAATAACCGGGGGGGGGGGTAAATATCCACATAGTTGATGTGTTAAAAAGCCCCTGAGTATGGGCCTCATAAGCTTTTTAACACAACATCTGTAATGTTATTTATTTTTATAATTTAATATTGAAATTTATACCTTTATTTCAGGCAATTAAAATAATAAGATCCGGATTTTTAATTCTCACTGTCGAGTAAGCTGGTAAAGAAGGAAATTCAACAATTTATTTATAGTTAATATTTGCTTTGCTCTATATCTTCCGATTTATTATTTCTGAACACGCCACTGATATATTAGGTAATTATAGTATTATATACTTATCTTCTATAATAATATAATATATGAACACTTACGGATGATTCCTTCATCGCATATGTCGCACATGCTGCAACAAGACGACAAGATTTTTGTCCCGAGTTGGTCAACTACCAAAACGCGATGGTTTTTATTATCCGTTCCCTTCTGGATGCTATTCGGTTTAATTACATCGTTAATAATGACTATAATAAAAACAATTTTTAAAAAATATGAATAGAAAAATATTTAAAACTATATAGTAAACGTTTGTTTTGTCTTACTTTGCCGAACGACTGCTTTAAGCCCAGTGTTAGATTTTGTTTTTGAACGCCACATGTTACTCCTGTGTAAAATTAAACGTAGCGTCAGAACGACTGGAAAAAAAAATAAACAGTTGGGTTATAAGTCGAACAAAAATAACCAAAGTAAAAAATATATACGAGAACGTTGATAGTAAAACGAAGACTACAAGTCGGTTTGGTTTGATCCGTCAGTCGTGAGTATTCGCGGTAAACTGCGTTCGAGCGGGAGACGCTGTGTACGCGAGAACGAAACTAATCGATATTCGTAAATTCGTGAGTACAGCTATACCTATGGTTGGTTTACAACTTGTAGTCCGGCCCCCAGTCTGTGTCAATATAACGCTCAAAATACACGGTAAAATATTATTACACTATTACAGATTGATATTTTTTTATTAATTTTCATTATTGTCAAGTTACAAAATGTAATAACATCTAATTTATAGCACTTAAACGACATAATTGACCCGTTATCGCGAACGAAATAATATATAAATATTACTCCGTGGCTGCTGTAAATGTCGTGCTACTAGGGGGTATATTTTTAAAATGCCACCCTTTACTATACTATAGTTTATACGGGAGGTAGACAATTTGGGCGAATCAAATTAAAATGTGGTCTGTTTGGGTGAATAGATACCGTTTGGGCCAGTGTTTATGCCACTAAATACACCGTTTGAGCGAATAAGTATTTATAGATTTATTGCAGGCAAATTAAATCATATGTTGTACATGTTAATATATATTGTGAATAGAAAAAATAAAGTCACATTCAATATAAATAATTAATAATTAATAATGAACACTATTTTTAAAAAGATATTGGTATAGAACAATAAATGTATCTAGAGTAATATTGTAATGTAGTAATGTACATTAATAAATATAATAAATACAATTACACATAATTATTAATTTGAATAAATATTTTTATTTTTATTTTTTTCTAAGAACGTTAGGAACATTTTTGAAGTGGAATTGATTTTAATTATTATTTTTGATTTGGATTTTTAATAATACTGCAATAACTTGATGAACATACGGGTGTATTGAATAAAACTGATTACTTAAGTAAGAATGAAACGCCCTAGGTCTATTTGTGGTTCTAGAATTGTTAAATATTTGTACTAATGATTAGTAATGATATCATCCATAATAAAGTTACCAGGTTTTTACCTCAAGCTGGCATAAATAATATTTCTCTCGCCCAAATTATATCAATGATAGTTATCCAAACAGACTATTTATTTTTGATCAAAATGATTAACCAATCAGAAATATCTTTGCATATCTGTACGCAAAGATTAATCATTAATAATGAAAAACAATTCTGAGAGAAGTTCGGTTATAGATGGTTTAAAAAGTTGTAATATTTACGATTGGAAAATATTTTGTAAATTTTCTCAGTTTTTCCTATTTATTAGAAAAACCCTTAGGAAAATAAAAAATTGCCTTCCTTAAGTACAACCCCACTTAGATTTCCTTTCAGAAAAAATGCTAATTTGAAAATCCGAGTAAAAATTCTGCTAGAAAAATTGTTCACAGAAAAGAAAAAAAAATATCATTGTTAAACCAACACATTCCTTGCTCCGCTCAGAATCTAAAATACATATAATTTATATAGTAGATGATTTTAAAGTGGGTATGTAATTATTTTATTTAATACCTACCTATAGAATTAATTTAAGTATTTCATACAATTCGTACATTTTAAATGAAATAATTAATTATTAAAACATTGAATACCTAAACCTACATAATTGATGACATATAAAGTTCTCTATATTGTAAAACTGAGTTTTATTTTACCTTTGTTCAATTATATAGCGCGTATTTTTAGCGCAAAACACTAAATCCATAATATTATTTTGTTTATTTAACGGGCGTAACCCTTTTATACGAATGTACATACTGTAATTAATACATTTATAACAACAAGCTTAATGTACATGTGGTTAATTAACAAAAGGATTAAAAACATTATTCTCGACATTCAACGGAATATAATATAACACCTAGGTATTTATATTAATTTTATAAATTGCATTATAACATAGTGGCCTACATGAAGACCGGCCCATAGAGAAATATCCCGATTTTTCGATAAGTTAATCTACCTCTGGTATTAAAGCTCTTAGAAAAATAAAAACAAAAATACCAAATCGTACGGGGCTATGGTCCTCACAAACTCCCATTCTACTATACCTATATTATAGTAACCAAAGGTTGTAATGGGTATACAAATAAATTTAAAAATAATTACCAAACACACTAAAAATACAACCATTTCCATTGTAATAATAGGGTATGCAGGCCTGGATTTACCAATTCATGGGTCCACTACAATATCAAATTGTATATAATCTATTTCAATGCTATAGGTCATTACTGTTTTCATACCGTTTTTGTTAATTAGTTATAATTTTGTTTCATCCAAACGAATAAAAAATGAAAGTGACATACGATTTTTATGAGGTCCAGTACAAATGTCCCAAATGTCTTAGCATAAATATACCACAGTATGTATGTAAGTAATTACTATGCAATAAATATTAATATTAACTAATAAATAATGAATACTATTAATAATAATTAATAAATAATAAATAATATTAATAATTTATTACATAGGTAAGTGCTTATTTCTAATAATACAACGGATAATACCATAGTGTAGTCATTTGCAGACACGAGGTGAGGGTGGTACGGCAACTAGTGCCCGGCGACAACCGAAATAATAATTAATATTTTTAATTTTTTTTTTTTTTTTTGCTTATCGGTAAACTTTCTTTAGTGTGGGTGCCGATTTTGGTAGACACGGGCCTAACTTCAAGATGCGGAATTTCCGTCTAGCGGTAGGCAGGTATTTTTAATTTGAAAATTCCTGACATTTTTTCTAAACCTACGTCAGTTTTATTTTCGTTAATTTCTAGGTTTCCATTCTATGTAGCACGATAATAGTGGTGTATAGTCAACTGTAATAAGAAGTAAAACCCCGAATAATACTATAATATTATACAGGATGCCCCATGGAAATCTGACCTATACAAATATTATTTTATTTACTGTTTTAAAGTGGTTTTTTTTCGGTAAAAATTATTGAAGCTTTACATATTGAATAATGATTCTTCTGCTTTATATTTGTATATTCTTTTTTTAAACTAAAAATAAAAAACTAAATTTTTTTTACCAAAAAGTACGACTTATTATGAACTTCCTAACAAATTTTTAAGTATTTATGTTAAGTTTAACAATTTATCTGTGAAGTAATTATGAAAAAAAATTGAATAAAAACTCGCAAAATTTAAATGTATATACCTAAATAGCTCAAAAGTTATTAAAGTCTACCCTGTCCAGAAAAAGTAAATATTTATTTTCTCTCAACATTTTAAGTACTCATTTAAGTACAAATATTTTAAACTGAATTACATTCCAAAATAAAAAATTGTAAATAATAAAATAATTTTGTTCATACATTTACACTACAAATAAAATTTAAAAAACGAATAACATAGTCATGAACTAGATTACAAACTCAACAAAAAAAGTCTCATATCATCTTACTATTGGAGCAATATTTATGGTAAAATATTTGCAAATATTTAAAACAGTGAAATTGGAAACGCCGCGACGCGCCATAAATGTTTGCCGTTTTACCTGTAGATTTCTTCCGGGATTTTCTCCGATTATTTTGATAACCCCTTCAAAAAGTGACTTCCTCAATGTACCAACAAGAGAAAATTACTTTTCAGAAAGATGCTATATTCTATACTTTAGAGCAAGATTTCTGGTAGAAAAGTTGTTCACAGACAGAAAAAATAAAAAACACCCATCATAGTAAAACCAATAGATCCCTCGATCCTCACTACGCTCCGAGTCTAAAATATACAAAAACACATTATATTAAAACCAATAATCTCCAAATCTAAAATGTACATTTTTTAGGAAATCTAAGACAGTCATTATATTATTATAAATTTTAAAACAACATTCTGCTATTTGTTTTTAAAAATAATAATTTTCATAAACAAATTTGATTGATATTATTTAGCGAAATCAATGAAAATAATTCAACTTATCATAAATTTTAAAAAACTGTAGCGAACCTTTGAAATACCAACATTTTATTTCAAAACAAGCTCATAAAAAATTTCTATCTTGATTTTGTAAAAACAAATTTTAAAGTTAAAATTTAAAAGCTAAAATTAAAATAGTTTATTTTACGGTTTTTTTTTTTTTAATATAAAATGCAATAATTATATCGGAAGGCTCTGGTAATTACTACAAAAAAGAAAAACTGAATAATATTAACCAAAAAAAAAGTTGTTATATTTGTCAGATTGCCGTGGGACATTCTGTATAACCTCGGCTGTAGTTTACCGAGCTCCAATAAAAATCGTTTTTTTAAATGTAATCATTTAACGTTAATTTCACGGTTCAGGTATACAGAGTGATTTAATAAGCGTACTCATCCCATTGTTTTCGTTAAATTTTGCAAATATTCAAATTCTGATTTTCTGAAATTTTAAGAGCAATTATAATTAAAGCCGATATTTTCGAATACTTAGATTTTTCACAACATTTAAGGAGTATCTTGTGGTGATACCAACTTTGCCACTTTGGTTTTTCAAATGAGAACCTATATTAAAAATTTCATAAATATACGGAGTATTACTTTAAATAAATGTTGGTGTCAACATTTTTAATTTCCATCAACCTATTAATGGGTTAGGTATTCCACTTTTAAGTTTAGGTAGGGAAAGAATAGTGAAGTATCATTTGTGTGGCGGCAAGACGCTCGACGTTTTAATAATGCACCACTTCTCTTCCTCAACCTAAAGCTGATTAACTGATTAAAGCTTAATTAGCTGGTGGGTATGGAATTACATTATGAAACTGGATTCTGTTTAAATGGTCACCGGTTAAGTGTGAAAGGAATATATTTGTGAAACCGGGTAACCGGTGCCGTTTAAACGGTCGCCGTGTACGTGTGAAATGGGCCTAAAGGCGGGTTTATACAAAGAGATTTTCTCGTAACTAGCATTCGAGAAACTTGCATGCGATTATCCATTGCAAGATTTCCTGTTCGAGAATCGCATTAATGATTGTTTACATTATGAAAAAATCTCGTACGTTGTTTTCGATTGTGCAAGGCGAGTTTCTGTTTATTTACATTATTCGAGATTATTATATACGATATTACCCAAGTATCAAAATATCGACAAGTTTAAACAGTATTTCCGTCTTGATTTATATCGAACGTTCGAGTCTCTGTACGATTCGTACGAATCCGTTCAAACCGATTGTTTCATTCAAGTATCCAGCACTTTCCGGCAATTTTCTCGGAAGGTATAGTGTGCTTCGCTGAAACCCGATTGATTACGATTGGCCTTTTTCACAACCCGATTGAGCACGGTTGCAATTAAAATATAGAAACCCAAAAACAACACGACTGGGCACGAAAATAGGTACGACGTTGCCACTTTGTGCCGTAGAATATTATTATTAAACAATAAAATAGATTTGAACATAAATATTTATAAACAAAAATGTTTTATTGGTTTTTAATCATATATTATTACCTATTAAGACAGCGTTTGCTGGGTCAGTTAGTTTAGTATATATTACAATTTACAATTAAAATTCATTCCCCTAAATGCCTTCCAAATGTATATAAAAAAATTAAATAAAAAAAGTTACCATACTATCATTTTTTGTACATCGCCATTTGAACATTTCACCTTTTTTTTCTCGTCCCAATAAACCTGTACTTGAAAGCTCAAACATTTGCCAACTCTGCCTTTCTGGGAAAAAATAATTTGTATTTCATTATTTTCCATCATAAAAATCGTAAAATTTGCAAAATATATACTATTTTTAAAGGAACACGAGCATGAAACAACAGAACAGACTGACTGCGACCTAGTCTTATTCACAGCGTAGGTACATACAATGGCAGTTAATCACAATTTAGTGCAATCGTTGTAAATGAAATTCTGGGTTCCTATCTATCCCAGTTATTTTCAAGTTCCGTGGGTACCCAACGACCGATAGCAAAATCTTTTTCGACTAATTTGTTAGTTACCTATCAGTAATCTAGACAGCATACACCACTGTGCTAGTGAAAATCTGAAAGCGTCGTGCACAATATTTATTAATTTTGTCGTGCTCAATCGGGTCGTCGAAAAGGTCCGGCCAATGACGACCGTGCCTAATCGGGTATCACCGGTGTGCTTCAACTCGTACGGTAGTAACGATAATCGTATAATATTATATTATCGTTTACACGTTACGATTTTTTCGAAAGGCACCGTTCCTCGAATGCCGGTCACGGAAAAATGTCCTCGTGTAAACCCCGCCTTATTATCGACGCTCGCCGCATTTATTTTTATCGCACACCGCAAAAACCGGTTGTGCGGACAACAATTATTTTAAACGCGGCCGGCCGCGTTTCCCCCGCTCGTCGACGGGCCGTACAGCTATATGGAAAATATTATTATTGTTGTTCAACGAAACTGACCGATAAATTAATAACGATAATTTAATTAATAACAACGATGATGAGATTAATTTTGGATACCTACGGCGCTGGTATAATAATTTGTTCGGCTGCGGCGTCGACCCCTCAACGGTCTCCCGCCCGTCGTGACAGCTTATCTATCTCGTTTCAGAATTACCGCGACTCCGTTGTATAGTAACGCTGTTACATTTATTTGTTCGCTTTTATTATTACGATTACCATTATTATTTTGGTGTTTTTTTTTCTCTCTTTCGCGTTATTTCGCGTTTTATTCGTTCGGCCCGGAACATCCATCATACGGTTATTACTCTTGTTACAGTGGACGTCACTATAACCGACGGTGTTGGCTCGGCCGTTCAATAAATAAACAATCGATTCATCTTGTTTTCAATTAATTATAAACGAATTACTTATCGGCTATTATTGTCCGCTACGCCGCTGCCGGTCGCACGTGTCCGTCCGACGATAATAATATTTCCGACTCATGAGTGCCGCGGCCGTCACCGTGACCGACGACGCTACGCGTCCCGGTTACAAAACGGACGTCGAAGCTTTGGTGTTCGACTTCGGATCGGAGTCGTTCCGCGTGGGCTATGCACGCGACGAGTTACCGAGGGTTAACGTACCGTCTTGGGTCGGCGTCTCCCGCGATGGTGTGCCGGACACCGGTCCGCTGGAACGCGGTGCCGGGCGAGCCAATCGTATTACCGGAGCCGCGTCAAGTGCCGCCAAGTATTACGTGGACGTCACCACGCTGTGCGTACCTCGGCCAGGTAACGTTAACGTTATATTGCTCACGACGGATAAACGCGATCGCCCTGCGCAAATTCACGCCGGCGGATCGTAAACAAATCATAAATTGTAACTGTTGTCGCGACTAGAGTACTATAGACGTTACGGAACGATTACACAAATCGAACCTCAAAATTCCGAAACCTGTTTGTGCTACGGTTACCTAGGTACGCAATCGCGTTGTTGCCGGTGTGCGTACACTGGTAGATTTTCGTTTTTCCCAATAGGTATAATCGGCGAAATCTACAGGTAATCTTGGTAATTGTTGGGATAATCGTGGTATTCTAGAATCTTGTGTAGGTACACAACATTATTCAGCGATTCATACACCGGGTGTACTGTGATTTCATTATGAAAAATGCAAAATGCTTAATTTAACGTTGCTTCATTAGTTGGTAAAAATTGAATAACCTTTTATTTAAGATCAAATAGAATGTAGGTGTATTTTTAGAACTTTAATGAATTTTAAAAAGTTAAATATTACTTATACCGACATACACTATGTGTCTTCTATTTTTTGTTTTTTAATTTCGATTCCAGACACTGAAGTATACAGTTGCATGAAAGACGGCTTGATAGAAAATTGGGATTTGTTTGAACAAATTTTGGATTACTGTTACTCAAAGTGTTTGTTGATGAATTCAGATCTCCATCCGGTATTGTTCAGCGAGTCACCATTGAACACCAGATCCAAAAGAGAGGCATTAATAGAGTTGATGTTTGAAAAGTATAACGTCCCGGCTATTTATTTTTGTAAAAATGTAGTTTTGGCCGCATATTCTAGTGGTCGCTCATCGGCTATTGTTCTTGATAGTGGTGCAACACACACTACTGCCGTTGCCATACATAATGGTTATGTTTTACCCAATACCCTTGTCAGTACACCATTTGGTGGAGATTTTATTACCAAACAGTGTTCCCAGTTCTTAGCAGTAAGTCTAATAAAAGTTTTGGTATATTTTTGTTGAAAATATATTTTCTAATTCTTTTTAAAAATTCTATTGTCTATAGAACAGTAATATTCAAATAATTCCATATTATATGATTAGAAGTAAACAACGAGTCCAAGATAAAGAACAACCAATATGGACATGTAAAAATGTACTTCCCAAAGTGTCATATTCTTGGCATAATTATATGTGCAGGTCAGTTGTTCAAGATTTTCAGCAATCTGTATTGAAGGTACTAGAAATTCCCAATGATGAGAGGATAACAAATTTTCCACAGCCTAATTATGAATTTCCAAATGGCTATAATCAAGTAATGATACTACAATCAGAAAATATTTTTTTTTTTTTTTTATGTATCGGAGTTTACAGTGATGTGTGATTTTTTAAATTGTTTTAATTTTTTCTGTCTGTGTACACCTTTTCTACCAACAATTTTACTCCCATCTATAAACGTTAAGAGCTTTTTTTAGCATTTTGGATCTATAATAATATTATTGGAAAAAATGTATATAACTCTGACTTACTTATGACATAAACATTTTTATTATTATCAATTTTGTTTTTTGTTGTAGTTTGGTTAATAATAATCATAGAGACTTGAAATTTTAACACAAGATTCATTGTATTTTTTTAAGCATTTTCAAATTTGTATGAATATCATAAAAATTACTGCATTTTAAATTATGTTTAAATGAACTAAGCTGAGAATTTGACTACAATGATTTATCATTGTGTACAGATTTAAATTATGTAACTTTATTATATCCTCTGTATCCTACCTTCAACAGTAGCACACCCATCAGCAATATCAACTCTTTTTTTAAATTTTAATTTCTATAATTTAAAATAAAATTTGAATTTGAATTTTTTTTATTATTTATCAATGTATTCATTATAAACTAAATTATAGTAACAATAATATATCCAATACTTTCCTGATATCCTAAACACAGTTGACACACATGGATAAGGTCCATGATGCAAAATTTATCTATCCTCTTATTGTCATTATTGGTCCCGTGTATCTAAGTATGACATAAATGTGCGGATTTATTTCTTTCTTTAAATCAATATATTTTATACATCTAATAGAAATATTGAAATTGGATGATTCTTTTAAAGTAATTTTAGTTTTGAAAATGATTGAATGCAATTAGTGTCTTGGTAACCATGCGATTAGGTTTTCAAGTTATATTCACTAATTTTTAATTTATTGATTTGTGCTGGATTTATATTTATATTTAAAAAAATTAATAAAAAAACTGATATACTTCACATGATGGTTGGGCTACTGTTGTAGAAGAGAAGTTGGAAGGTAGGATATAGAGGAGACTTTATTGTATATCTTTATACAACAATTAATCTTTACTAATAAAAACCATTTCTGAGTAGAGTTTGTTTATACATGTTTAAAAGGCTGTAATATTACGATTGTTGTCAAAATTTGATATTAAAATTCTTATAAAAAAAATTTATAAGTATTACATTAAACTCAACTTTTTCTTGTTGATCACTATGTTCAACTTGTAATGAACTTTCTATTAAATTGTCAAGCATTTCTATTTGGTCTAACAATTTTATCCTCAGAGTACCTACTGAATAAACATTACCTATGTCTACAAATGGCTCAAATCTGACTCAAAAATGACTCAATCAAAAGTGGTTAGTCTCTACAAATATTTTTAACTGAATTAAAATAAAAAAACAAAATCAATATTTTCGACATTTTACCACTTTTACTTGTTTTTTTTTTTCGGGTTTTCCCCTTTGGTTGAAATAAATGACCTTGCTCTTGTAGCACTAAAGAAAATTCCCTTTCAGAAAAGGTGCTATACTTGATACTTCGGTGCAAGATTTCTGGTAGAATTTTTGCACACAATATAAAAAAATAAACATCATTGTAAACCATTATATTTCTGGCTCTGCTCAGAATCTATAATAGACAAAAATAATATCAAATAGGAAAAAAAATGTGTTGGAAAAATCAGTAGTGGACTAACTGCAATGATGATAAAAATCATCATGTCAAAAATTAAATAAACAGTGGACAAAATGAAGGAAGGTTAGGTTATTTTAGGTTTTTTTGTTTAAATAGAAAATGAAATTTGATTTAAAAAAAAAAAACAATCAATGCTTATACAAGTTATCATTTAAGATCAGATATCAGTTCACAACTTTTTTTCCTACCATATATATTTCAGATTTTTGAAGATGGCAGTTAAAGGGGAATAAAAACTTAAAATTATAAATTAAATAGGAACCTATGAATATCTTGTGATTTAAGTGAAGAAATGAAACATTCCACTATTATGTATTTTATTATTTATTAGGGAAGAGAAAAATCATAATAATTAACAGTTCCATCATACCAATATATTTTCTATTTTTATTAAATAATTTACTTGGTTATTGATAAATATTTAAAAAAAAAATTTTCCTTTTTAGAATTCTTAGCCCCTTTTTTTTAGAATTTAATTGCTATAAGTACCGAATCCTGCTTATTAGTTTTTATTATATAGAGTTATTTATTCAATAAATATATTTCAACATGGCATATTATACAAGGGAAAAATTATATGTAAGCTATCAAACATCTACGGATCCATCCCCTGCATTTATAGAACCGGCTTTATGAAAATATATCTCCACAAGTCAAGAGATTATTAATTGTGGGCCAATTCAGTTTATTGGAACTGTACATTCTATTTTGTATATAATTTATTACATTAAAATTAAAAATAATTCAATTAACACTCACAAAGCAATTTTTAATGAATTGAAATATATATCATGATTTGTTATATTTTGTATCATATATTGCCTCTGGTATTTTTGGAATTTTTGGTAAAATATAAAAATCACTCACATATTAACATACATACATAGTAAAACCTCTAAATAAGAACACTTTTTAGTATTGATATTGGATCATTTTTATTGTAAATTAAGAATAATTGCAGAATACTTAAATAAAAGTCTACACTATTAAGTTATTTGTTATTACTATGTACATATGTTACTACTATGTACATATGTTATTACTATGTATATATGTTATTATACTGTACATGACATATATTTTATATTATCCATCCATTCATTGACATATTACCAGATTAAATGTTATAACCTAAAGATATATTTAATTAATGTAAAAATAAAATTTATTTGATTAATTAATTTAATATAAATACAGTTTCTCCCTCTAAATAATAGACACCTCTGAATAGTAAATAGAATTTCAGTGATTGAGAGTTTCACTGTTTATATTCACTATTACTATATATATATATTAGGTATATGTAGCTAATTTCTGATTTTAGTTTTGAATTATATATCTAATATTTAATATATATTAATTTTTAATATTTACAATATTAAAACCAACTTACATATAACACTATTATGCAATTAAAATATTTATATTTTTAGACATTTGGCAATGAAAGATTCAAAATTCCAGAACTTTTATTTAATCCTCACCAGAAAATGGGTGGTGCCACAGTTAGCATTGGTCAAATTATTATTTCCAGTTTAGGAAAATGTGACAAAGATCTAAGACCATATTTATGTAACAATATCGTTGTCACTGGTGGAAATTCATTAATACAAGTAAATTATTACCAAAGTATTATCTAATTGGTTATTGATAGATGATAATTATTAAATAAGTAAAAAGAAGACAAAAATTATTATACTGTGATAATTAATTATGATTAATGTTTATGTTTTGAAAAGGGTTTTCCAGAGAGATTGAATTATGATGTTTCTGTACTTGCTCCGGCTAACACAAAATTGAAAGTAATTGCACCTTCTTCATCTACTAAAAGGCGTTTTGCCGCATGGCATGGTGGATCAATATTAGGCTCTGTTGATGTTTTTCATGATAAGTGGATAAGTCGCCAAGAATATAACATCCAAGGTAGAAGTCTAGTTGATAAATTAAGATATCTTTGATAATGTTTTGATTTGCATTTATATGCGTACATTATGTTGATTCGTTTTCAGTAGTTGATATTAATTACATTTTTTTGTTTTTTTTTTTTGTTATTGTTATTGGAAAAGAGTTTGTTTCCAAGTTGCCAAAAAGTATTTTTATTATTTAATTACTGGAGTGGTTACAAACTCAAACATTTTATATTTATTGACCCATTTTGTTATAGGAAAATATTTAATATTACATGTTTTTCAAATGTGTTCAGAATATTAAAAATATAATTCATATATTGTACATTATAATTCTCAGGTGTTATTATATTTTGTTCAATTGTAAAATAAATACCTACCAGTATTTGCGGACTTAAGTTAGATTCTGCAATGATGTTTCTACATACCTACTTAATAAACTGTTCTATTAGTTCTCATTAAGATTCTCAAAATATAGTGTATGAACTATGAGGTGAGATACTTCTAACATAGCCTATAGATGTAATAAAGTATTTAATTTCTCAATCTAAGTTTTAGACTTCAGTCATATTTAGTTATTACTTATTATATATAATTTTAAGTCTTATATTTGTATGTCTTAAAAATTTTCATATAAAATATAATATTTAAATAATTAAGAAAAATTTGTTTAATATCTAAAGACATAAAAAGACAGACATACTTCACATGTGGGTGGACTACTGTTGTAGGTGAAAAGTTGGGAAAGTATTGGAGAGGATATTGAATGTATATGTGTATACGTAAACAATGATAAACTATTGTGATTCTATAATGATTCTCAGCGAAGTTTAGTTGATAGTGATGCTTTGTCAACAACATATATATGGTAAACATATTATGGTAAAATAATTACATAGGCATTAAATATTTTCTTTAATAATAATTGTTTATTATGGCACCTATTTTCCAAGTTTTTCAATGTTTTATTGGGAAAACTACTGAGAAAATAAAAAAATGACCTTCCTAATATACCTCTCTACAGTTAGATTTCATTTTAGAAAAAGTGCTATCATAAATCGGTGCGAAATTGCTGGTAGAAAAATTGTCTACAAAAAAAATATCGTAATATTTTACTAATGTATTTTGTACATTTTTCCCAAAAAAGTCAAAAAGTTCAGGAAAGAAAAATAAACATCAATGTAAAAATATAAGCTTCTTTGCTCCATTTAGTACTCATACAATCCCATATTATGTTTTATTACTAAATATAATTAATATTCAATGATATTTGTTACTTTTAGATTTTGAGTTAAGTATTGATTTTACAAAGATTTTTATTTTTTTTATGTGAACACTTTCTACCATAAAACTTATTCTTATATACATAGTAAAGACCTTTTTCTGAAAGGAAATTTTCTTGGGGTAGTACTTTGGGAAAGTCATTTTTCGATTTTCTCAGAAATTTTCTCAACAAATGTGGAAAACCAAAAGTGATTGGTTTTAGGTTATAAAGGTTGTCATTTTATAATCTGCCCGCATGGGGCCTATTCATACAGCACTATGGCATACTATATTTTGTTCGAAAATATTTCTTTGGCAAATAATTCGGCAAAAAATATATTTACTTAAATTATTCGAGCAGAAAAATATTTGACTAGAAAAGTATTTTAGTCGAAAATGTAATGGATGAAAATAAAATGCTAGAAAAATAATTAATAATAATAATTTATATTGTATATTTATATCTGATACTATTGTATTATATATAGGTACATATATAGATTACACCGATACAACACTAAATCCATTAAAAATAATATAAAACAGAATAATACAAATTATTTTTAAAAAAAATCATTTGTATTGCACAGAATATTTATACAAAGAATTAAATGTTCTACCAATGAACAAATTGTTCTATAAGGCATCAGTAATTTGTATAATTAAAAATACCAAACACCTAGTATCTTAACATTGTTGTTTGTTTTTTTTTTTCAAACCGCTTGGTAATTGTAATGTTTATTTTTTTTAAAAAAAGTGAATACCAGAATCTTTGTTTGAATCAAAAACATTTGGTACTTGTGGAATTTTTTATATAGTTGTTGCTTTGAAGAGGTAATTTTTTGATTTTCATTGTAGTTAGAATAATTCGTTTTTTTGTGTAATTTTTGTTAAGTTTGAAACAAGGGAAAATATACGAATAATAATTAACACTCTTCACAAAATTGTTTATCGTTGATTCATCGTTGCATACAATGTACACTACACTGTACAGACATAAATTGAGTTACGCTATACAAGATGTAACACGAAAATATGACACCTGAAATAACTTATGTTCTCTTCAAAATCTATTGATATCAATTATCTGTATCTTATTAGTTATTAACCTAACTAAAAATTTGTTAATCTAATTTTATTGAATGAAGTAATTATATTTCTGAAACATAAAATAACATAGACAATTTTAGGAGGGGGGGGGGGTTAGGTTATTTCATGAGTCAGGTCTTCGTATCACAATCTTTATATCTTCCCTTCCAACTTCCATCCTAAAACAGTGGCACATCTATCAGCAGTATAAGTCATTTTTTTGTATAAATACCTACTAGGCCAGCGGTTCTCAATCTATTCATATCCGCGTACCACTTGCCACGATTATTAGATCTTTTTTTTTTTACTTATCAAAAAAAAAAATATATGTAAGTACGTTATTTTCACGATTTTATTATTTAATCTGCATAATTATTAGCGTATAATATACAAAAGTACAGTTATTATTTATGGATTACACGAACATTATAACTAATAACTTTTTTTTTCACTTGTCAAACAATTTCTTCGCGTACCACCTACGAGCTTTCTACGTACCACAGGTTGATAATCTCTGTATTAAGCAGTAAAAATAATTTTCAAATTATTCATAATAAAGATTTTTAAAAAAAATTGCAAAACCATAATTTTCGAAGACCCGTATGGTTAAGATAAAAAAAACATACCATAATGCACAAAATGACTAATATATTTTATTAAAAAATTTCATTGGGAATTGGTAGGCATTAATAACATAATAATAATAATAATAATAACAATAACGAATAATAAATTATTAAAAAAAATTTCATTTCATTAATACATTATTATTACGCATTATTAAATTATTATTATTATTATTGTTTGTACAAATCGAATTTTAATTTATATTTTATGAGTCTATCCATAGCCTTAGCTCTGGATCTAGAATGTTTAGATATTGATATGTTTTTCAAAAAGCCACAGGTTAATGTTAAGAAGCCTCAGGTTCCCGATCCCTTGAGAATACTAACATAGGGTAATTTAGTTTGTTCTGAAAAAAATTGATAAAATGATAAATCCATTATTAAATCATTACAAGCAAAAAACGATTCTGAGTGGAACTTGATAAATTGGTAGGTATAAGTAGTATTTTTTTTTTCAATCATGTACCCAAGGCAATCCAGAAATTAATAAAAGTAAAACCGATATCTCGTAAATTGTTGGCAGTTTTTTTTTAATTGTTGCGAATATAATCAAATAAAGAATTATCGGGTAGAAAAATACCACCAATATAGGATAATCTACTACCTACACATCATGAAAAATCGGATTATTTTTACTAACCAAACAAGTGTTTTACGAGAAAAAATCTTAGTAAAATAAATAGTCGGGTACTGAGGTGCGATATATTTCAATACACTCGGAATCGAAACAATGTCCCCGTATTAAATATTAATTATTATTGCTACCTAGTACCTACCTAGATTTAAATGTTAACTATAATAATGACTATTTAAATTATATAGGTAAGTAGATAAGTTGTTTTTATGTAATTACATATTCAGTGGCGGCGTAAACTTATTATTTCAATGACGCAGTAAATATTGTCAACACCCACCCACTCAATCTCTATATAAACCCTCTCAATAAATTATTGAACATTTGAACAATGATTTTAAATTTAATAAAAAAGTCTATCAGATTTTTACATTTATACCGGGGATAGTCTTACATAATGTATTGCAAGTCTTTCTTCATATTTTCGACCACCTAAATCAGAACATTATTTTACCGATTCTCTTAGAGAAATTTATACTGATGGTAAGTTAGGTATCTCATTAGCCTAAATAACACCTATTTGCATATTTGTGAATCCGTCAACTAATGATAGATTACTCTACGTCATGACAGTAATCATTCAAAAATATTGAATAAAATGAATAATAATTAATAATTATTTAAAAGAGCTGATATTGGGGATGGGAGCGGCCACTGTTGTAGGTGAGAAGTTAAGAAAGTAGAATACATAAGGTTATTTCATTTACATCTGTAAGCAACGATAAGCCATTGCTTGACGAAAGACGATTCCGAATGCAATTCAGTAATACCTAATTTTTGCGATTTTCGTTAAAATTTGATTTCAAAACGCTTATTAAAAAAAAGTCGTCCGATAGTTTGGGAAATTTTACCACATTTAGTTAAGTCCAATATAAGTATTCTTACCAAGTTTCAAGTATCTATAACCGAATTGCAGCAAAAAAAACTCCCAAAAATTAAAATTCCTTAAAAGCTCAAAAGTGGTTTATAAGTTTTGGCAATGATACCATAAGAAAATAAATCAAAAAGGCAACAAAAAATGTATCTTATGATTTTTCAATTAAATAATTTTTTCTAGTAGAAAACGTCGTCCGTGTTTTTATAAAATAATGAAATCGTGAAATTATATGTTTCTCGGTTTTTTCCCCACTTACGTACTTTTATTTAAAATATGACATCGAAAATCAAAAAATGACCTCTCTGTAGTACCAAAGAAAAAAGAAAAAAATAAACATCTTAGTAAAACCAATAGCTCCCTCGTTACGCTTGGAATCTAAAATTAATCATCGTATTATCGGTCGAAATAATAGGTAGCGTATTATCGGTGTAAAGAATGTATGTACACCGCCGATTTATTAACCGGTGCTCCAATGCACGAATATTTGTTCCTAAGTTAAATAGGTGTTTTGTATATCATAGTATCAAACAAATAAAATATGCATGTATTGATAATTGTTACGTATACATATGCCAATCAATAAATGCATAGATAATAAAGAAATGGATATGCTTGCCTTATCAGTGTTCCAATTAATTTATGATTAATCAATTTAGCTTACCAAACGTATATTATTCATACCTAAAAGCAGTGGCGTATTTAGGGGGGGGGGGGGTTCTGGGGGTTAAAACCCCCCCAATATTTTAAAATTGCTTTGAAAATTTGTATTATGGATTAATAATAATTCGAGACTACCGAACGATAATATTAGGTTTATGTGAATTACACGAATGCATTGTGAATATATGTATATACAAAATTAATTAAACTGATATATGAAATTTAAGTGTTAAATTATTTTTAATTTATTCAACTAAATCGTTTATACTTTATTCTTCTCATAATTTTATTATAATCAAAAATTTTAAGTAACAATCCTAAGATTTTCTACAAGAAAATTACCAAGTATAAGGTTTTAATCAGGTATGAACTCGTGATATAGCTATGTTAATATTTATGGAGAAAAAGTATTTCCAGGAGTCAGAACATCCCCCAAAATACACCACTGCCTAAATGATAGGTAATAAATTGTGGCCCATGTGTAGTGAATTTAACAATTATAATTCTTTGTTTAATTTTGTAAATTATTATTAATATTGTGCAATTGTTTTTTTTATAAAACATAAAAAAATGTAAAATAATATTAAATAATTAACTAATTTACAAATGAAAATGTTTACCTCCCCTTATTACCACTCCGGGAACATCGCCTCACTTATAATTTGTATAGGAGTGGCTTATCCATTTCTTTATTATCTATGCTTACTTGATTTCGACTGACTTCACTTTGTCCAGGCACTGTCTTACATTGTCCACAATTTTCGGTCATTTTAATACAATGCCCGGATTTACTACTTTGCACATAAAAATATAATCAATGGTATTACTCTATGCTTTATTTACAGAAAAGAAAAAAAAATATTAATGCTAATCGCTAATCAGCGTTAACATACTTTAACACCCATATTGATTATAGATATAAAGATTACTAGATATTCTATACCTATAATACTTTTACCAATAGAATGTATTTTTTTGTTATAAGATTTATTAATACATCTGAAATACGTCAAAACAAGTCGATTTATGAAATAAAATTTTTTACCTATAATGTACCTACCTATACGTCTTGTATAATGGTTATGTTTGCGTTGTGGCTGTTTGAATATGATATTCTACGACGTTTACCTACGTATTCAGGATCTAAAAAATATGTATCACTTAGGAGAGAAAAAACACACTTACGAAATAATACAGGCTATTGAAAACGTTCGATCACGATGGCTAGCTGGTACAGGTATCGAGTAGATGCGTCTTCTAAACAATTCTGTCCGACAATGAAGGTAGGTAGTTAGTAGAATGAGATGTGATAATTTTCGCGAAAATCATCAAATATTTATTAATATTATTTAATTATCACATTTATATTTACGACTATATAACACCACACTGTAAATATTCGTGTTTCAATTTTGACGTTCTGAATAATACAAACAAACATAATCAAATAAGATAGGTGACGTATACCTTCTAAGTATAATAATTTTTTTTTTTTTTTTTTGTTTATATCTTTGACTAGGCAAATATATCATTTGAGTGATTAAATAAATAATTCCAAATCGATCTAAAATTATTATTATTATAACACATTACATTCGTTCTAAATGTTTAATCGTTTAGACATTATAATTTATAATACTCAAAACAAAATTAAAATACTATAAAAGGTTGATAGTTATCTAATATATAATTTATCTAGCCATCTATGTAGGTGTACCTATTAAATAAAATCGAACATGGAAAACATTGAGCGCAATTATTGTAAGTAGGTTGGTCACTGTTGTATTTACGAGGATACGCGGAAAATTGAAGATTAGTCCGGTTTTTGAGGGGAATTTTATTCAGGGGCGTAATTTTAGCTTTTGGAAAGGTGGAACAAATTAAAAAATTGTCAGATTCCAAATAAATTTATAAAAATATCTTGATTTTACAATTATGGTGAAGTACAATTTTAATAATTTGAACTTATTGATATTTCAAAAGCCTCTACAAATCCAACCGAAGACTTGGTCCCATATGAGAAAACCTCTATAATTTAAGTGAAATGAATAGATTTGAAAAACAAACCAATTTTTATCTTGATAAAATTTAGAGAAAATATGTTTTTTTAGTTTTAATTAAACTAATAGCTACTGGAAAAATTAAAAAAAGTATTTTATTATTTAACTCACAAGATGCACAATGTATGACTTTTATGATTGATTCCATTATAAGAAATTTCTTTTAAAAGGCCACTTTTCAATATTCGAGAATCTTTATCACCAACATTTTGAAGAATTTTAAGTACATTTGGTATTTCAGTGTAAAGAAGATTGATTTTTTTCAAACAACTCTATCAGTATGACCAATGAGTATCAACCAAATGTTTCAAGTAAATAGCAACTAATAATTATTATTTTTTATTTAGTTTGTATAGACTTTAAATTACATTAAAGCATTAAACCCATTACAAATATAAATTATAAAGACTATCAAGGGAGTATAACAAATATTTAAACGACAATGTACATTATATGAGTACGTGTTACAATCCAAATTGCAAAAATTGGATGAAGATATTCACATTACGGATGGACCATTGTTGTATGTGAGAAAATGGGAAGGTAGGATATAGAGGAGAACTTTGTTTATAACTGAACACAACGATTTATAATCATTCCTTATAAAAACGATTCTGAATGGAGCTTGGTCAATAGTATTAGGTACTTTTTCAATAATATGTGTTTTCATGAAAGCAATTTAAATGTTCTAGAAAACAAATTCCGGAAAAAGTTAATACATTTATGAGATAACGAATGTACTCACTTAAATGGATCACCTGGTAGTTATATATTAAAAAAAGTTTCATTTTGACCCTGTGTCCATTTTGGGTGTCCATCAACGAGTATTTTTTTCCAAAAGTCTTAATGTTTTAAGTTTAATTGTACTTAATACTTAATACACTCAAATTAAATATAAATTATTTATTATTTATTATTTATTATTAATTATTTTAATATAAGTTGTTAAAATAAAAACCAACATGATAATTATAATATTATTATTATAAAAATAAAATTAATTAGCAAAATATAAAAAATAAGATAGTAAAAGTAAAGCTAACTAATAAATAAATAAAATTAAACAACTCTATTTACTTCTACCATACTTTGGCGATTATTAGTGATTAAATTATTGTAAAATGAGCCTTGTAATAATTAGGAACATAATTTGGGTCACAAACGCTTATTAAATCATTTTTTTTTTTTTTTGTAATGTTATTTCAGATCATTTAGAATAAACATGTTTCAAAGAAAGGTTTTCACAAATGACTTTATATCTTCATTCTCGAGATGCAATTTTTCTAACGGTCAATTGTGTTTTGAACTCTTTTAGAGAATTAATTTTTATAAAGAAAATCTTTTTTTAGTTTCAACAATTTTATTTTACCCCGCACAACTCTTTCATTTTCCATATTCATGATAAAATACTTTCCAATTTCAGAACATAATGTGTTTTTAAATCAAGCATGTCTCCAGTACCCATTTGATAAACTTTATATGGCTCTCCTTTTCGTGCTTAGCTTATTATAGGTATCCATTGTTCTGTTACATAAATTGGTCCACATTTTAAATATCTATTTTAACAAGCTATTAACAAACATTCTTAGATTAGTTAGTAGTATTTTTTTGGTCGTACATTTCAGACTAAAATAATAATAAAAATATAAAATCAATGATAAAAACGCGATTAAAAAGGCCTTTATACCTTCCTTATACTATGCCCTGAATTTCCGTTTCTATTTTACTGCGACTTACAGTGTATTAAGTGTACTGGGTGATCTATCCATATCTTTAATATCTATGGAATCAATAGAAATTGCAGATCAAATCATGGATCTGTACTGTATTTCATTATATTTGAAATTATACCAACGTAATTTCAAAAATAAATTGTAAAATATAATGTGTACTCAAAGAAAGCCGTCCAACTTCACACAACGGTGCAGCCACTGTTGTAGGTGAGATGTTGGGAAGGTAGTAGAGGGAAATTTGTAAGTAAATCTGTAAGCAACCATAAACCATTGCTTACGAAAAAAAGATTTTGAACGGAGTGATGCTTTGTTAAGTGTCAACAGTACCTATATATCATGTCATATTATGGTAAAATAATTACATAGGCATTACAACTTTTCTTTAATAATATTTCTTAATGTTTACCTATTTTCCCGTTGTTCCTACGTTTTTCCCCAATTTCCCAGGTTTTTTCTTGGTTTTTCCCATTTATTGGGAAAACTGAAAATATCAAAAAATGTCCTCCCTGAATCTCTCTAGTCTGATTTTTTTTTTCAAAAAAAGTGCTACACTTCTAAATCAGCAAGATTTCTGGTATAAAAGTTGATAAAAGTTGTCCGCAGAAAAAAAATACAAATAAACATCTTTGTAAAACCATAAACTTCGTCACTCCACTCAGAATCTAATACTGAAAAAATTGGGAGTGCGCGTAGATACGACTCGTTTGTGGCGTAGTAAAATAATATTGGATACCTAAACGTTTAAAATATTATTATTATTAGGAATCACTGCCCCACTGGATGAACGATGAATGTAGGTATATTTGGTCTCGGTTTCGGTACCTCGTGCGCACTCTATCCGTTTACACTTGTATCTGACCTCACCGGTCGCATTACACTATTCTTAGAAATCAACCATGTAACTCTCGATAGTGTTCACTTCTAGTCTACCGTACAGTATATATACGAGTGAAACTTTATTTATATATGTGGAGCACTCGGAACGAATGACGCCAAACTCAGCCGCGTGGCTACGGAACTTTGTTATCTAGATGTGTAAGGTTTAAATTAAATTAACTAATGACAAAAGAATTCAACAACTTCATTTGAACAAACTGCTTCGAGGGCCAGGGCGGCGCACGAATTAAGCGTTCGCATTCGGCACAGTATCCGGGAGTGTGACGTCGTGCGCTATCACTCGGTGACCCGGTGACCGTCGGAAGCAGTCTAAGCGTTCACCTTGTTCCAGTACTCCCAGAAAAAATTTTTGGATATATTTTTTTTGTTAATTTTTAGATTCTGAGTGAAGCAAAGAAGCTTATGGTTTTACAAAGATGTTTATTTTTTTTTCTTCTATAAACAACTTTTCCACCAGAAGACTTGCTCGGATTTCTAAGTGTAGCACCTTTTTTGAAAGGAAATCGGTGTGTGTGTAGACATTTTTCGATTTTCTCAAGAATTTTCTCATCGAGTTTGAAAAACCGAAAAAAAAACCAGGAAAATGTACGAAATGTATTAATAAAATATTAATTTTTTTTTTCTTGTGCACAACTTTTCAACCAGTAATTTTGCTCCAATTTTTAATGATAGCAATGTTTCTAAAATGAAATTTCGCTAGAGAGGTACTTTAAACAGGTCATTATTCGATTTTCTCAAGAGTTTACTCATTAAATTTGTAAAACCGATAAATAACGGGAAAATATAAGAACTGTCGGTATTAGTTAAAATATATTACAGCCTTTTTCTGTGAATTTTAAAGGTCATTTTTCGGTTGTCTCGTGAGTTTTTCCAGCAAATGTGAAAAACCAGGATAAAACGTTGGAAAAATATAGGAAAACTGGAATATCAGTATAACATTAAACAAATATTATTAAAAAAAATATATAGAGATTATTTAATTATTTTACTATAATATGGCATATATATTGCTGACAAAGCATCACTATCAACTGAATTTCGTTCAGAATAGTTTTTTCGTAAGCAATGGTTTATCATTGCTTACAGATACCTATACATTAACATCCTGTCTATATTCTACCTTCCCAACTTCCCATCTACACCAGTGGCTGAACCCGTTTCATTATTTTACCTTTAATATCTTAAATGCACCCTAATATTCTGTAATTATATTTTTATACCTTTTACGTATAACCGTCAAACTAATTCATGCAATTTTTGCGTAGTCGAAAATCTACACTGTAAATCCAGGATTTTCCAATGGAGTGAAGGTGATAAATATATCAAATTGAATTAATTTATATTATAATATTCCAATAAAATATACGTGCATTAGATATTGTACAAATAATATTTCTTATGTTTTTACAAAATACATACATTTTTCACAACAATTTGTACATAGTTGAGTAATTAGTGAAAATGTACAATCTACAAAGTGTAATGCAGAGGTTCCCTTTTTTTTTTTAAAACATATATTACTATAATTCTGTGTTTCTATTATTTTTCGTTGATTTCAAATTCAGTTTTATCATAAATCGTTATCTGTGAGTGTGTCAATTACGAATTTACTGCGACCGTGTCAACACGACGCAATCAAATTAATACAAAATTGAAAAGGTAGCGATTTAATTTTATAATTAAAATCAAATAAAAGTTGATAATTGGAATATTACATCTGTTTATAAACATTTAAATACTTTGAAAGGTAACGGTAATTTTGATTCATATTTTCTGAGTGAGATGAAGAATTATCAACAAATGAAATGGATTTAAAATCCTTTTCAAGAACATGACATGGGTATCAGTAAGAGTTAAAAAAGAACTATCGAACTATTAGGATATAGTTTATTTAAAATGAATTTCAATCGAAAAAACTTATAAGTTACTGGTTGTCTGTTCAAGGCCAACTGTTTATAATGAAACTGAAAAGTTGTCATTCATATTTTCATTATATAATTGTGTAGTTGGATATTTGATAATGGTTGTTATCGAAAACCAAATTACTGAAAAATAGGAAACAGGGTCAAGTCTATATATATAATATTATACACGTAGTTTAAAACTTCAAGCATTGAATATAACTCTTGGTTAGTTTCTACAATGATCATTTCAGATTTTGAGTGAGGCGAGAAATGTATTGGTTTTACAATGATTTACTATTATTTTTTTTATTCTACATAAAATGTCTCCTAGAAATTTTGTTCCAATCAAAACACGACAAGAGACCTTTTTGTTGAATTTTGGCTCTAGTCGGTACTTTTAAAAGCTAATGAAGAAAAACCAGTTTAAATAAAATTAAAAAATTAAAAATAAGGTTGTTATTGCAAACATTTATATTGGTTTATTTTTTGTTGTTATTAATAGTTTTCATTATTTTAATCTTTCAATCTTGTTTAAACGTTCTGAAATAATAAGTATTTGTTTTTAAAAAGTAGTTTTTTATTTATTCTATAATAATAATATACATAATATGATTAATTGAATAAATTATGAATAGAATAAAGCTGCATCTCAAAATAATTCTTGTTTTTATTTTATTATAAAAGTTTAAGTTTTTAAAAAGAACACCATTAAACTTACAAGAAATTTCCAAATACAATTTATTATACAAATATTTGAGTGAAAATACCTTACAAATTACTATAGACTATTGAATATTTAAAATGCCCTCCTGAGGTATTTAAAATTTTTTGCACAGAAGTTCATTTTATACAATCAAATTTATTTATAATACTTGTATCTAATTGTTTATACATTTTTAACCAAATATTTCTAATGTTACTAAAACAATTTTTTTCAGTAGTTAATTTGATTTTTATTGTTTTAAATGAAATCATTTTTGTTACATTTTAATCATAATGTGGAAAAGAATTTTCTCTACATAGATGGTAATGATCAACCAAGACTTGATATTTATCTATGGCTTGCTCTTTTGGTCTGATAAAAAACAACAAAAAACAATAATACATTTATTAGGATAACCTACCTACTGAAGAAATTTCCTTCATAAATGCCTAATAATTATAATTTATTTCATTATACAATTTTAGATATTTTCTTTATTTGAGCCAGACCACAGATAATTTGTACAAAAATAATTTATGTGCATTATTTTATTTTACAATTTTCTGTTGCAATACTAAATACAATTTTAACAAAAGCTCAATTTACTCTGTACATCTGTTTAAGAGACAATAAATCCACCTATAGAGTTTCTGGTCCTTGTAAATATTTAACCACGCTTAAAATATAATATTTTCCAATTACAAAATATTTTATAAATAAAATATAACAACTATATCATTAAAATACATTGTAAATTTAATATTAAAAAATTAGTTATCTATAATTATCTTTGTTCAATATTTTTTATTAAGTTGTTAAAAATTATAAGAAAAATACAAATTAATTGTAGATTTTATGAATATGTTTTCTAAGAATTTCTGTTATTAGTTTTTACATATTATAATGATTTAATCAGTTGCATAATTATAAAAAATGAACATTTATAGTACATTAAATATTAACTAGAAATATATTGTAAAATGTAAAACTAAATTAAAATTTAAAATGTATTACATAAAGGGAATATCCTACTCATGTATAGTATATTAAACTATATTGTGGGATTGCATCTACATGTTATAAAAGGTTCAATAGCATAACTTATTTGTTAATATTTCATAACAAATTCTGTATCTTAATTTAGGGATATCTTTTTGAGTAAAATTCAAGTCTGCATCACGAGCAATACATTCTGCATTAATACAAGTAAATACTCCACAATCGTTACCATTCAATTGAACTGGACAGTGTGCCTTTATCAATTGCCATCCACTACAGTCAAATATTTCATTTTTCTTGGTTTTATATTCTTCTTGTAAAAAACTAAAAATCGTATTTAGACAAGAAAGATTTGATCCTCTTAAACTATCATAATACTTTATGGTTTTGTCAAGAAAATTAACACATATCAAACACCAATGACTACTCAAGTGAATAGGAATAAGTATTTTTTTATACTTGAATATATCTTTTTTTCTGGTCCAAATGCAGGCAGCTTGAAATCCATCTGAGCTATAAAAAAATATGAATAAATTAATAAAATAAAAAGTGTAGCATGTATCTTTTTATTATAAATCCAACAACTTACTTTAATTTAGTATAGAAAAATATATCAAATGCATATATAGATTTTGGGTTACGCTGAACTATCATATTTATATAATGATTTATAACTTCATCGTTTAACCAGCCATTACTTATCCATACAGTTTGTAGATCCATTATTTTAATATTTCTTGATGCCGTAATGTATTGTTCTTTTGGTTTTTGAGTCATTTTAAAGTTGATAAATTCAAGTACATCCTTAGAAAAACCGGGAAACAATACATCTTTTGCCTCTGGTGGTAGTATTAGTGGTTTAATTTTGTTTAATTTTTTATTCATAGTTTCAAGTTTTTCATCATTAAAAATGGCATCAGGTGATTCGAGTTTGACTTCAGAGGAGTTCAAAATGACATTACTGCTTTTATTCTCTGTGAATATTTTAAATATATCTTCGTATAATGTTGGATGTTTTATTATGATATTTTTAGAAAACTCTAGCTCTGGAAAGTGCACACAGTTTTTACTTGATGTTGAAAAGTTAGATTGATTTGAAACATGTTCCTTATGATTATTTAATGGAAATATCCAATTGGAAACAGGTGTTTCTATGGTTTCTACTTTTGGTAATATTTCATTATTACTATTGTTAATTGGAGCATCACTAATTTTCAATGTAGAATCCTCTCTTTCCAAACCTAAACTCAATTGTTTAGGTCCTATAAATGAATATTCTTTATGGCCAGACTCAATACCTACATTTTTAATCATTCCACCAACTTGCATTAAATCACTTCTAAATTTACTCGGTTTTAATAAAACTGGTGGCTTTAGTAAACCCTGTGATTTAATAGTTTTAGTTTTGTTTTCTTCATCAGTCATTTTAGTGTTTAGATGATAAGTCTCAATAGCTAAATTTTTATTCATTCCACCAACTTGCATTAAATCACTTCTAAATTTACTTGGTTTTAATAAAATTGGTGGCTTTAGTAAACCCTGTGATTTAATAGTTTTAGTTTTGTTTTCTGTG